ACATGAAATGTCCATTTGGCTGCTTAATTTTTATCCCTGATCCCCAAATATGCCTTCCCATAAATCCAGTTGCTCGGGCCAGAAAATATGTCTCCTTTGATTTTTTGTTTTACTTCATACCTCACTCACTCAATCAATAGGTCAGATCAGCTGTACCTACAAAATGTGTTCTGAATCCAACCATTTATCAACATCTTCCTAATTACAACTCTAGTCTTCCATCTCTCTCCTGGGCCACCACATCTGATTTCCAATGTCTTTTCCTCCACTGTTGCCCCCAAAAGTCCTTCTTTCATAAACAGAGCTGCCAAAGTAATCTTTCTGAAGCATAAACCTCACTGTCACTTTTCTGTTTAAAACTTATTGTGGCCGTGGCCAATTTAGCTCAGTGGTTAGAGCATCGGCCCACGTACCAGAGAGACCCTGGTTCAGTTCCCGCTAAGGGCACATACCTCGGTTGCAGTTTGTCCCCAGCTCCAGTTGGGGTCGTGTGGGTGGCAACCAGTCAATGTGTCTCTCTCATATCAGTGTTTCTCTCTCTCTCTTCCTCCCTCTCTCCCTCCCACTCTGTCTGAAGATAAATGCAAAAATGTCCTCAGGTGAGGATTTAAAAAAAAAAAAACTTAGCCCTGGCCAGTTTGGCTCAGCGGTTAGAGCGTCAGCCTGCGGTCCAGAGGGACCCGGGATCGGTTCCCGCTAAGGGCACGTACCTCAGTTGCAGTTTGTCCCCGGCCCTGGTTGGTCGTGTGGGTGGCAGCCACTCGATGTGTCCCTTTCACGTCGATGTTTCTCTCTCTCTCTCTGTTCCTCTCTCTCCTTCCCACTCTACCTGAACAAAAATGGAAAAATGTCCTCGGGTGAGGATAAAAAAAAAAAAAAAACTTATTGTGGCCCTAACCAGTTTGGCTCAGCGGTTAGAGTGTCCACCCATGGACCAAAGAGCCTCTGGTTGGATTCTGGTCAAGGGCTTGTACCTTGGTTGTGGTTAGGTCCCCAGCCCTGGTCGGGGTTGTACATGGCACAACCCATCAATGTGTCGCTCTCAAATCAGTGTTTCTCTATCTCTCTCTCCCTCCCACTCTGTCTGAAAATAAATGGAAAACTATCTTCGGGTGAGGATTTAAAAAAAACGCACACAAACTATTGTGGCTTCCCATTACACTTAATCCAAGTTTCTTACTTAGGCTATCCCCACTCTCCCCCTCTTTCACTCTACTCTTTTAGCCATGCCAACATTCTCTCTTGTGTCCCTCACATATACTAAAAAGCTCATTCTCATTTGAGAGCCTTTGCACTTAAGCTCCTTAAACACAAGGGCCCTCTTGCCTTAATTATCACTATATCCCTAGCTTCTACAACAGTGTCAGGCACATAATAGATTTCCCAATAAATATTTGAGACCAAAGCGATTGCTGTCTCATGAATTAGGAGGGGCAGGAATACTGGCTAAGTAAGGTTTCACCATCTCCAGACACTAGCCAGGGGGAAGAGTGTGTGCAAAGGCCCAGATACGAAAAAGGTCATGGCAAGTTAGTAGATCCAAAAAAAAGGTTCAAAATGAGCTTTATGACTGGAACATAGTGTTGAGGGGAAAAGCAAGAGATGTGACTAGAGAGTTATGCAATCACCAGTTTTTACATGGACTAGATAATTATGCAGTCAACAGTTTAGGAGTTTGGACTTTTATTTCAAAAGCCCTAGGAAGCTATTGAATAATTTTAAGCAAACAAGTATTTGGTAAAGAATTATATTTGAGCCCTGGCCGATGTGGCTCAGCAGTTAGAGCGACGGCCCATGGACCAGTGAGTCACGGGTTTGATTCCAGCCAAGGGCACGTACCTAGGTAGTGGTTCATCCCCAGCCCTGGTCCCAGTCGTGCAGGAGGCAGCCAGTCGATGTGTCTCTCACATTGATGTTTCTTTCTCTCTCTCTCTCTCCCTCTCTCTCCCTTCCTCTCCTTCCCACTCTATCTGAAGATAAATAGAACAGTATCCTCAGGTGAGGACTAAAAAATAATAATAAATTTAAAAATCAGTGGGAAAATATCCTTGGGTGAGGATTGAGGAAAAAAGGTGTATATAATTTCATGATTGTATTTGTTCCCTTAGATTTTAAGTAGTTTTTGTATCCATCTGATAATCTTGTAAAGACAAATATCTATTAATTTTAGCATCTCAGTGTGAACTTTCTTGATTTGTTTTCTATCACATGGATTAAATTGCTAGTGTAATTTCAGGATTGTGTGAGGTACGTTGGTACATTGAATGCTGAAAAGTATTGGTTAAGAAAAATTGTACCTCTGTCACCTTTTTTAAAAGTAGTAATACTCATCTTATGCCCTAAAATAGTAGCCTCAACTCCTAAATCTTTCTTCCCCTTGAAATGCTCAACATCATCTAACATTGAATGTATCAGTTCTGAAATAATCTGATTGGTTGATGCAAATATTTATTTGTGGTCCAGTAAGTTAAGGCCAAAAGGATGGGCAGGGTCAGGCAGGCTCACGAAGGCTTCAGAGCTGCCTCTCCCAGGCTATATTGGATATTATTGTTTCTCCCAGAATGGAGGATAGGAAGAAGGCATTGTCATCTCTAGTATACTTTTTTTTCATTGGTATCATACTGCTTTTTCTACTTAATATACACTGAGTTTCTTTTCCTCTTTTTTTTTTTTTTAATCCTCACCTGAGGACCTTTTTTTCCATTTTTTGTTCAGATAAGAGTGGGAGGGAGAGAGAGAGAGAGAGAGAGAGGGAAACATCAGCGTGAAAGGGACACATCAAGTGACTGCCCCCCGCACGACCAACCATTGGCCGTGGACAAACTGCAACCGAGGTACAAGCCCTTAGCGGGAACTGAACCTGGGTCTCTCTGGACCGCAGGCTGACGCTCTAACTGCTGAGCCAACTGACCAGGGCTTCTTTTCCTCTTTTAATGAATATTGAGTTACTTTTAGTGGTAAATATTTAGTCAGTAATTCAGTACAATTAAAAAATAATGACTAGCTGCTGACACAGAATCTAAAACCAAGATTCTATAAGCCTCAGAGTTGTCTATGCTATAGAAAAGTATCTGTCATTTAAATGGTTAAAATACATTTGGCCCGTGTGGCTCAGTAGTTGAGCTTTGACCCATGCACCAGGAAGTCGCTGGTTTGATTCATGCCCAGGTTGTGGGCCAAATCCCCAGTGGGGAGCATGCAGGAGGCAGCCAGTCGATGTTCTCTCTCATTGATGTTTCTGTCTCTCTCCCTCTCCCTTCCTCTCTAAAATCAATAAAGAAAAAATTTGCCCTGGCCCTGGCCAGTTTGGCTCAGCGGTTAGAGTGTCGGCCTGCGGTCTGGAGAGACCCGGGTTCGGTTCCCGCTAAGGGCACGTACTCCGGTTGCAGTTTGTCCCCGGCCCTGGTTGGTCGTGCGGGTGGCAGCCTCTCGATGTGTCCCTTCACGTCGATGTTTCTCTCTCTCTCTCCCTCCCACTCTATCTGTACAAAAAATGGAAAAATATCCTCGGGTGAGGATAAAAAAAAAAAAAAAAAAAAAGCCCTGGCTGGTTTGGCTCAACAGTTAGAGCAGATTAGCCTGCGGTTCAGAGAGACCCGGGTTCGGTTCTCGCGAAGGGCACGTACCTTGGTTGCAGTTTGTCCCCGGCCCCGGTTGGGTTGTGCGGGGTGGCAACCACTCGATGTGTCACTTTCACGTCAATGTTTCTCTCTCTCCCTTCCTCTCTCTCCCTCCCATTCTATCTGAACAAAAAATAAAAAAATATCCTCAGATGAGGATTAAAAATAATAAAAATAAAATAAATAAAAATTTTTTTAAATACAGATCAGGGGAAGATAAAGAGAATATACTAATTTTAAAACAATCTATATAAAACAAACTTATAAAGGTAATTCTTCTTGATCTGTTAGTTTTTTTGGTACGTGCCGCTAGCGGGAACCGAACCTGGGACTCTCTGGTCCGCAGGCCAATGCTCCAACCGCTGAGCCAAACAGGCCAGGGCTTTTGGATTTTTCTTAATACAGGAATTTTCTTAACTTGCTAAGGTGAGAATTTTTGCTTTTAGATAGATAGATAGATAGATAGATAGATAGATAGGAAGAATCCTCTTCTCCCCAATATTAAAAATTGTAATGAGCCCTGGCCATTGTGGCTCACTTGGTTGGAGTGTGTCCTGTGTACTGGAAGGCCGTGGTTCAGTTCCTGGTCAGGGCATATACCTAGGTTTTGTACCTAGGTTTTGGGTTTGATCCTCAATCGGGGCACATGCAGGGGGCAGCTGATCAAATGTGTTTCTCTCACATCGATGTCTCTCTCTCTGTCTCTCTCCTTCCCTTTCTTTCTCCCTTCCTCCTTGTATAAAAATCAATTAAAGATAAATGCTTCATTTAAAAAAAAATTATATTGTTGCTCTCACAATTCAAATAACCAGAACAAAATCTTGACCATACTGTTTATTCCCATTAGCCATAGTCTAGAGACTGAGAAGGAACAAAAAGAAATGAATGATTAATTTGTTCTTATCTCCCTAGATGAATGTTCTAAACATAGATGTTTTCGTATACTTGTGTGTTACATGAGATGTTTCTTACATATTTTTGGAACTCTTGATTCAGATTATGTACAAGGCTTATTTGATTATTAATGTGAAAACATTCATTGTAATAAATGGGAAAATCTCATTATTAGCTATTTTTGGTTGTCACAACTGGGAAAGGGAGTGGTACTGGCATCAGGTAGGTAGAGGCCAGAGATGTTGCTAAACATTCTGCAATGCACAGGACAGCCTCCCACCCCAACAACAAAAAATTGTTCCATCCAAAATATCAATAGTTCTGAGATTAAGAAACCCTAGTCTAGGTGTAATAAAATGAAATTGTGTGTCCCAAGCAAGCTATGAGGTTGGGGTAACTTACTGTGAACAGTAGATGTCACTATAGTCCAGATATTTCAGTTTATTAGAGGTGATTTCCCAATTATGTTATGTTCTGCTTCCTCAGATCCAGCCAGTTTTACTGAGATAACTAAAGACTGTGATGAGAATAAAGAAAACAAAACCCCAGAAGGATCTCAAGGAGAGGTTGATTGGCTTCAGCAGTATGATATGGACCGTGAAAGGGAAGAGCAAGAGCTTCAGCAGGCCTTGGCCCAGAGTCTCCAGGAGCAAGTAAGATACTTTGCTACTTTCTCCATCCCTCTCTTTTCCAAGAAATATAATAGTAATAATAATAATAATAATAACTAATATGTGTTAAGCACTTACTATATTTCAGGCATTATATGTGCTTTGGATACATTGTTAATACATCAAAACAAACAATATAAACTTCTTTGGGGCTTTGCATTGGGTTTGACATGGAAACATTGATAGCTTTTTTTTCTGTTTTTGAAAATCCAAATGCCACGAAGTATATTGTTGGTTACCTCCCATTACAGTAATTCATTGCATGGTAAAGCAAGATGGGTTATAAGAGATTATCCCAATCCAACCTTATTTTACAAATTGTAGAAACAGCCAGTATAACACCATGAGTTTTTCATTAATATTTCAAGGCATTGTATTTGTTTTGGTCGTTTTCTCACAATGTGAGTCCTTTCCTGTGAATTATTTGAACATTAAAATCTTAGGAATATTATCTGAAACTTAGATTTTAGTCGTAGACTAACATTTATCTTCTTTATGTAGTAATCTATTCTTTAATTTTTAGTTCTTTATGCTTATATTTGCCAAAGCTGGCTGATTTGCACTGTTGCAGTCATCAAGGTATCTGACTAAAAGGTGATGTTTTCATGCTTTTCTAATCCTGTGCAATCCAGGTCATGTTAGTAATAAAAATTTACAAAAACTCCCTAGAATGAATGCAGTTTTAGTGTTTACAAACAATGAAATTAAGAAATCAAATTTGGTAGGGTGTTGTCCTGTGCACCAAAAGGTTTCTTTCAATTCCCGGTCAGGGCACATGCCTGGGTTGCGGGCTTGATCTGCCATGGGGGGAGTGCAAACAGTTAATGTTGTGCTCTCACATTGATGCTTCTCTGTGTTCCTCTCCCTTCCTCTCTCTCTAAAAATCATTAAAAATATATTTTTTAAAAGAAATCTAATTTCTCTAAAACAGTGGGTCTCAAGCTTAATTGCACATTGATATTACCTGGGGAGGTTATAAGAATACTGATGCCTGGCTTGTTCTGCCACTCAGAAATTCTGGTGTAATTGATCTGGGCTGTGGTCTGGGGAACTAGACATCTTAGTTTTCTTTTAAAATTAAAAAAATTATAAGGATTTATTTATTTTTATTATTTTTTTTTTACTTTGTCCGTTGATTCTAATGTGTAGCCAAGGTTGAGAACTGCTACTTGAAAACCATTTCAGAACCAGCTCTTCTATACCTTTTTATTTGTAAGAAGTACCTACCAATCTACCTTATCATCAAGATGTATCTATGTCAAACAATTTTACAAAGAATATATAGTGGTCATTTGTTTTAGAAAACTTACTTTAATGTAAAAGACCAAGATATCATTTCTTTTTTTTATCTAATCCTCATTCGAGGATATGTTTGTTGATATTTTTAGAGAAAGAGAAAAAAACATCAATGTGAGAGAGAAACATTGATCAGTTGCCTCCTTTATGCACCCTGACCAGGGATGGAACTCGAAACCTAGGTATGTGCCTGATCAGGAATCAAACCCACAACCTTCTGGTGTACAGTACGATGCTCCAACCAACTGAGCAAGGTTTGATTTCTTAATAGTAGCATCTTACAGTATTTTTTGTTAGCTGACCCAGTTAAAACTCACAGGGTGGGTCAGAAGAGGTTCACAGTTGTTTATATGAGAAGTAATATAATTAATAAATACTGATACAAAAATAAACTCTGTGTTTTGAGTACTCACAACTGTAAACTTTCTTTTGCTCCATGCTGTATTTTTCTCAGATGTGAGGGTAGGATTATAAGATGAAGTTTCTTTAGTTTGGTATACCTGCATCATTCTGTTAATAACTAAAAGAATCTCTTCCTGGTTTCAGCATAAATTTTATATACTTGGATAAGTTTAAGTAATCTTACTTCCTCTTAGAAAATATCTGATGCTTTCTTGAGCACAGTATTTATTGCTCCCAGTATTATAATGCAGAGTAGCTAATTCTAAGATTCTCATATACTTTAGTAACTTTAAAAACAAGTGTAGAATTGAAGAAAGTATAAAATAATTCTGCTTAAATGATGTTTTTTCTTTATTCATGCATTGTTTGTAAATTATCTTTTCTCTGAACATGAGAGGGAAATTTTTTTGTAAGTCAAAATTTTCCTATTTCTTTTTATAATTAGTCCTCTAGTTGAGACATTTTCAAAGTTACTACTAATTTTTCTAAGAGAACCTCAGATGTATTAGAAAAGTAACAGTCAACAGCATTCCTTTAGTATTTACCAAACATCTATTATGTGTCTTGGTTTCTTCAGCAAGAACAAAAATAGAAGTCTATGAATAATATCTTGTGGAAATAGTGTTTATCCTGCTGTCATAGACTTCAAGTCAGTGGTGTGCTAGAGCCAGCTTACTGTCAGCTCAGGAGAGCCAACTATACCACCTCTTTCCAGCTCTGCATTCAGCATCATTTTGGTTATTTAAAATTGGCCATGGTGGGAGTACTTACACCATGGAAATTTGCAAATACTGTACATCAGGGGAGAGAAAAGAGCAATTTGCTAAGTATCTGCTATATGATGGGTATTTTATACATGTAGGAAGAAAGGAGATTATATCACAATGTCACATTGACTGGCTTTTGGTTGGCAAGCCAAATGTCACTAACTAGAAGAGATAGCATTTAAGCTTTTTTAATCTCCGAGGTTGTATTTTAGGAGGACAGTGTAGGAAAAAGTAAAGAACTTCTCTACATCCTTCAATAGGTCATATTCCAAACATCCATAAAATTATGGAAAATATTATTAGCAAATACTTCTAGAGCAACTGATATTATACTCAATAACTAAGTTTAATCAGTACCTCTGAAAGTACTTTAGCTTTGTTCTTGTCCCTTTAGGAGGCTTGGGAACAGAAAGAAGATGATGACCTCAAAAGAGCTACAGAGTTAAGTCTTCAAGGTGTGGAGATTATTTTAATTACCTTTTTTAATGGTGAAATGTATCACATAGAGAAGAGCATGTAAAATGTGTTTGTTATTTTTAATAACAGTAACAAATTTGAACACCTACCAGGTAAAGAAATAGAACCTTAAAAGTTACCTAGAAACCCTAACTTCCTCCTCCCTCCCAGAGGAAACCACTATTCTAACATTTATATTTATTAGTAGCTTGCTTTTCTTAAAAAATAGTATTTACAGCCCAGCCAGTGTGGCTCAGTGGATTGAGCGTCGTCCCGTGGACTGAGAGGTCCCAGTTCAATTTCCATTCAGGCCACGTGCCCAGGTTTCGGGCTCCATCCCCAGTAGGAGGCATGCAGGAGACAGCCAATTTACGTATGTCTCACACATTGATGTATATCTCTCTCTCCCTTCCTCACTCTAAAAAATCAATTAATATATGTATATAAACAGTATTTACTATATCCATATCCTTAAACAATATATTTTTTTTAATTTTGAAAAAATTAAATTATTAGCAAGGACCGTCTGTAATCCATTTATATGAATGAGCAGTACTCTCACTGTTAAGACTCCTGGGAAAAGTTAAGGTGGCTTCAGTTTCCCCATGAATTTACAGGAGTTACTCTGGGGATATCAGTAGGCAGTTATGAGTGAGTATTCAGAAGCATATGGTTCACCCTAGTCATTGCATTTGGCAGAACTAATATATGAACCAGGTGCTGCAAGTCCACAGGGACATGTAGTCACAGGAAGTGAGCTAACTCTGTATTTTCTATTTCTAAGATTATTGTGGTCTTCCTCCAACTCTCAGAAATAGATCAAAGCAGAACATTTTGATGGTGCAAACTGAATGTTCTAGGCTGGTCTAGACACCATGACATGGAGGAAAGAGCAAGAATTTGATTGGGACATGGTTAAGACCATTACAAATAAGAATTCAAGCTAAGTTCACCCAGGCATTCTGTCCTCTGGTTAAAAGATGGTACTATGGTAGTGATGATGGCTGTGCTGAGTCCTAATGCCCCAATCTGTACTGGTTGCCCTCTACATCCTGATATCTCCCTAATCATTCTTCTGGGAATTCCCTGATTGTTTCCTCTGTTTGAATCTCCCATTTCCTATATCTCACTTTTCCTCATTCTTGGTCTACTTGTGCTTTCATAGAGAGCACCCCCAGTAGTTTTCTTGAAAAGGAAGAGAGATGACTTAGATTTTTTTTTTCTCAAAACATTGCAAGTTTTATTCTACTCTAGTATTTTATTTATAGCCTGGTTAAATATAGAGTTCCAGATTTGCAGTCATTGTGAAAGTAGTGTTTCCTGCCAACTTCATGCTCCTGGGCAATGGGAGAAGTCCTGGTTGCAGGGTTGCTGTATGAATTGTCTAAAAAGCCATTCATTCTTTATCCTGATGTGACCTCTTTTTTCTCTGAAAACTAGTAGCATCTTCTCTTAGTCTTTGCTGTGATGAAGCTTCACAGTGATGCGCCTTGATGTGGGTCTGTTTCATCCTTTTTGTAGGGCACTTGATGAATCATTTTAATCTAGAAACTTTTTTTCTTGAATTCTAAGAAATTTTCACTGATTTCCTCCCTTCTCTTTTGAAACTCCTATTATCCGGACTTCCTAGTATAGTCCTTTAGATTTTCTCATCTTTTCTTCAGTTTTTCATCTTTTTTGTCATTTTACTCTACTCTCTGGGTAGGTTGTCCAATTTTATCTCCAACTCTGAAATTTCTTTTGAGTGTTTTATTTCTGTATTTCTAATTTTTAAAAACGGATTTGTTTTGTGAATGTTCCTTTTTCATAATTTTGTGTTTGGTTTGGTTTGGTTTGGTTTGGTTCATGGAAACAACACCATCTCAATTCTCCAAGGATATTAAATACAGTTCATTTGTTTATTTCAAGTTTACTCTCGCAGAATAGAGTCTCCAGATTTCTCTGTCCTGTGTGTTTATTATGGTCTTTATATTGCTTGTTAGAGGCTTTCCTCATATATCTAATAATCCTTGACTGTTAGCTCATGGTTAGAAACAGGGAACTAGAAAGGTGATTGCATACTCTGAACACATGAATAACTAGGGCTAGTCAACTTTTGAGTTTTACAGGATGGGACTATTTAGAGGATGATGTTAATATTTTATCATTTTAGGCCTAGCCAGTGTGGCTCAGTGGTTGAACATCGACCCATACACTAGGAGGTTGCTGGTTTGATTCTCAGTCAGGGCATATGCCCGGGTTGTGGGCCAGATCCCCAGTGAGGGGTATGCAGGAGGCAATCAGTAGATGTTCTCTCTCAGCAATGTTTCCATCTCTCTCTCCTTCTCCCTTCCTCTTTCTCTAAAATCAATAAAGAAAAAAAAAATTTTTTTATAGAAAAAAGAAAAAAATATTGTATCCTTTTGAACTGGTCAGATTCCTAAAGAAGGGTTTTCTAATATCTTGCCTTTGCATAGAGGTAAAAGATGTAGCTGCCAGAGTTCTGAAAGCCAAGTATAAGAATACTTGGCCCAGCCGGTGTGGCTCAGTGGATTGAGGGTTGTCCCATGGAGTGAGAGGTCCCAGTTTGATTCCTGGTAGGGGCACATTCCCGGGTTGTGGGCTCGATGCCCAGTAGCAGGCGTGCAGAATATTTCTCTCTCGTGTCGGTGTTTCTCTCCCTTCCTCTCTCTAAAAAAATCAGTAATAAAAACATTTTAAAAGATGGGTTCTTCCAGTGGAAGCACGTTATTAAATTAAAAAAATGGATCTTGGATTTGTTTGTATGACGTATTTTTAGGTGAAGTTTAGGAGTTAAAGGTTGAATTTCCTTTATTTTTGTTGAATTTCAAAAAAATAATTTAAAATTAAGAGAATGAAAGGATATTGACTATTTTATGATCTCTTTTCTGTGAGATAATTACATTTGCTTATATGCACCATATATTTCAAAATGGTTTATATAATATAGATTTTAATAAAATTGGTGGGTTTTTTTTTCTTTATTGATTTTAGAGAGAAAGGGAAAGAGAGATAGAAGCATCAATGAGAGAGAACATCGATTGGCCACCTCCTGCCCCCCACTAGGGATTTAGCCCACAATCTGGGCATGTGACCTGACTAGGAATCGAACCAACAACCTCTTGGTGCATGGGTGGATGCTCAGCCACTGAGCCACACCAGCCGGGCAAATTGGATTATCTTTAGAATTATATTCTTCTCTTTAGTTTTATTCCTTATGTGAGTTATGTCCCTTTTATATAAATATATTTAAAAGGAAAAGGAGCATTTCTTTTACCGATGCCTGGTACTTGAATTGTAGGTCCCCAGAGTGGGCTGGGTAAATTAGAACCCTAATAATAATATGTGTTATGTTCTCCTAGGATGATAAAGTGTGTACTCAAGCTATTTTTTTCTTCCTAATCTTCTCTTTATGTCTATTTCAAGAGAATTTACAAGACTCTGTCTTTATGTTCTTCAGAGTTTAACAACTCTTTTCTGGATTCACTGGGTTCTGATGAGGACTCTGGGAATGAGGATGTTTTAGATATGGAGTACACTGAAGCCGAAGCTGAGGAACTGAAGAGAAATGCTGAGGTAGGTGACGTTCTGTCCCCTGAGGAGCACTGCTCAGTATGACATCACGGGCCCTGCTGTCAGTTTCCATTGCAGCTTCATTTCTGCCCCTTTGTCAGCCATCAAATGGTCTTCACTTTCTCTTGTCCTTTCCCCCTCATTTCTTAACAAGATTCAAAACAAAATGGAACAAAAACAGAAATACATCCTGACCACCTTACATGTGCAGTTAGGTAATAACTGAGTAACATGGCTTTCAAAGTCATATATATAAAATCACCTTTAGATCTACCAGAACTATAAAAACTGTGTAATTAATAATGTTAACCAGAATCCAATGGAGTCTTTTATTTTTCTTTTCTTTAAATAATTGCATTCTTCCCATTTTCTAAATTTTTTGTAGTTTAATTACTCAGGATCCCATGGTCCTGTTAGCATTTAACCATATTCTTTTGTCATCCCTATACCCCCAGCTGTGCTTTTTAAAAGCCATAATATAAGTACAGTTTTATCCTGCTTGTTAAAGACTAAATATTTATAAGCATTTTATTTTTAATGGCTGTGCTATATTCCCTCCAATGAATATACTGTTTTATTTTAGCCAATATTGAACATTTACGTTGTTTCTGTTTTCTTTGTTTATTTGTTTTATTTTACCCTCCTCCCCATCCCACCCCCCATTCCCCAGCATTGTTGTCTATGTCCTTTGGTTATGCATACATGCATATAAGTTCTTTGGTTCATCTCATTGTTTGTTTCTTCACTGTAAAAAATAATACATTGAGAAACTGTGTAAGATTGTAGTGTTGTCTATATTTAGAATTTTTTTCTCTAAATCCCCAGGAGTAAATTATTACATCAAAGTTTATGAATATTTTACTGGTTTCTGGTTTATATATAGCTATATTTGTTCCCAAAATTGTATCTAATAGTGCTACCTCAGTGCAGGAATATCTCTTTTCAGTTTTGTTTTGTTTTGTACTAATAATATTTTAATAGCACTTTCAGAAGTATTTCACTTAAAATGTAAATGTTCACCTATAACACGTACAGCAACTCTTCATTTTTTTCTTTCTATTTTTCAGTACTTAACCATTAGCATACTTTTTCCATAGACCTATGGTTAGTATGTGCATTTATGTGGTTTTGAAAAACAAGTTAATAAGTTGATGGCCCACATGCTTTTTTTCCCCTTTATTGACTTTAGAGAGAGAGGAAGTAAGAGGAAGAGAGAGATAGAAACATTGATGAGAGAGAACCTCTATTAACTGCCTCCTGCATGCCCCCAACTGAGGATCGGGCCCACAACCTGGGCATGCATCCTGATCGGGAATTAAACCAGCGACCTCTTGGTGCAGAGTCGACACTGAACCACTGAGCCACACAGGCCGGACAACCCACATGATTTTTTAAAATAACTGAATAGGCCCTGGCTGGTTTGCCTTAGCGGTTGGAGTGTCGGCCTGTGGACCAAAGAGTCCCGGGTTTGGTTCCCACTAGGGGCATGTACCAAAAAATTAAATTAAATTAAAAAAATAAGAATAACTGAATCGTATTGTACTGAGTTGTTATATCACTAACAAACTGTTATTGGGCCTAATGTCCCAGCTTTTTGTTATTAAAGATACCACTACAGTACCTTGGCCAGTTTGCTAAGTGGTTAGAGCATCGGGCTGTAGACCAGAGAGTCTGGGTTCGGTTCCTGCTAAGGGCATGTGCCTCGGTTGCGGTTTGTCTCTGGCCACAGTTGGGGTTGTATGGGTGGCAATCACTCGATGTGTCTCTCTCACGTTGATGTTTCTCTCTCCCTCTCTCTCTATCTCCCTCTCCTTCCCACTCTATCTGATGATAAATGCAAAAAAATATGTAAAAAAAATAGTAATACAGTAAATAATTTTATACATATATTTTTAATTATTTTTTTAAGATAATTTTTCTTTATGGATTTTAGAGAAAGAGGACATGAGAGGGAGAGAGAGACAGAGACAATGATGAGAGAGAACATCAATTGGCTGCCTCCTGCATGCCCCCTACTGGGGGTCAGGCCCACAACCTGGGCATGTGCCCTGACTGAGAATCGAACCGGCGACCTCTTGGTGCATGGGTCAGTGCTCAACCACTGAGCCACACCAGCCAGGCTTTAATTGTTTTTTTAGGATACATTCTTAGTTGGGAGTAGAATTCTTGAGTCAAAGCATATGAACAATATCAACTACTGGATATTTTATTGAATCTGCATAAACACTAACACTTAGCCAACTTTGATAATAAATTTAAATTTAGTGTTTTGCTTTTTATTCAGATGAGGAGTTAAAAATCATGCCCACTTCTGTTTTCCAGACAGGATACCTTCCTCATTCCTATCGGCTCATCAGTGTTGTCAGTCACATTGGTAGCACTTCTTCTTCAGGTAAAGGGACAAATTTATTTCAGCATTTTATAAATGACGTAACCAGCATTTACTCCTTATTAGGTTGCTCTGTGCCTAGCTTTGTGAGGTGTTAAGTTGAATGCATCAAGAAAAATGTTGAAATCTTTTGTCAGGAAGTAGTCCTAGTATAGTATATTTCTCCCTTAAATATTTATACTTGGTTTTTAGAAACTTTTGTGGGAGTGAAGTGGATGAAGTTTCTTTCTGAAATTTCCTATACCTGAGAAAAATGCAAAAATTTTTTACAAGCTTCAATTTTAACATTTCACTTATTTCAGGTCATTATATTAGTGATGTTTATGACATTAAGAAGCAGGCGTGGTTTACTTACAATGACCTAGAGGTGTCTAAAATCCAAGAGGCATCCGTGCAGAGTGATCGGGATCGGAGTGGTTACATCTTCTTTTATATGCACAAGTAAGAAACTTTTCCAGATCTGAAGCCATAGGCTAAAAATCACCCAACTCTTTCTTCTTCCTTAAATAAAATGTTCCCATCACTTAACAAAACCAAAAATGATCAGCCAATTATCTTTGCTTAGGGTTCATGTCTTATTTCCTTATAAATCCAAAATATTTTCTCTCTTAATTCAACGGTTATTACTCATCACACAGTAGCATCTATGTATGGAGCTTGAGATTGTTTTATGATAGAAGCTGTCTTATCATAAACTTTTTTGGTCTTCTAGTTGTATCAGCTAGAAGGTCTGAGTTATATCGATGGAAACTACATAGCATTTTTGTGCAAGTTGGCTCTTACCAGCCTCCTGCCTCCTAGTGTTCTCAGAAAATCAGTACTTGGGGTTAAGATGGTGATCAAATAAATGAGCTGCTTATTTAATAAAATTTAGGCACCAAATGGGATTATGCAGGCTTTATCAGTATCTATTTTCTTATCTACTCTTTGGCTTTACTCAGTGAAATGCTTATTTTTTGTTTGTTTTATTTTAAGGGAGATCTTTGATGAGCTGCTGGAAACAGAAAAGAACTCTCAGGCACTCAGCATGGAAGTGGGGAAGCCCACTCGTCAGACCTTGTGAGGAACAGACTCCTAGGTTGGCAGTGTGCACTGCATATTCTCCTTACTGTCACCCACCTTACCTTCCTCTGCCTGAGGAGAATTTAGAACTCTACTTGCTGCGGGAGCAACAAACAGCTCAGGGCCAAACCAAAAGACGAAAATTGCAATTATGCAGAATGCTCCATGCTAATTGTTTTATGGAAACTTTGGTCTCCCCTCTATAGCTGATTATTCTCTTTTTCTCCTACAAAAGTAGCACTTCCTTTTGTATTAGAAATACTTGTTGTAAATATATATATATGTACATACACACATATATGTGGAATGAATGGAGCCTTAAAGAGTTAGGATAAGCCACCAGAGTATGCCTGCTCAAAATTAGTAGCACAGCAGTTTGGAAAAGAAATGAATTTATCAAGGAGTCCATTCACCTGAGAAATGTGTGCAAATATACATATCAGTTGACATTTAGTTTTTATGTTCCTTGAGTAGTTTCACTCAAGTCTGTAATCTTTCATGTGTGTTTCCTCTTAGTAAAATTCACTGGAAAACCAGCTCTTCATGTTACACTAATGACAGTTTGTCCTCCTTGCAAAAGAGGGGCATTTCTGCCACCTGACTTGGGGGGCTTTTATTAAAAAATTGATTCATGGGTTTGTAATGCTTTTGCTGTTTACATGCAGTCCCAAGAAAAGGATTGTTGGTGCTCAGAATGTGTTAAGGTCCCACATTTGGTATTCATTATATACTTTGTATTTTCTTTAAAGAGATTCATTCACACAGTATGTTCATTGTATATCATCTATATTATGGTGGTAAAGATAGAATTTTTTTTTTTTCTGTATCATTCTTTTATGGAGCAAGCATTATCCTAACAGAGTTCAAGCAAATCTTTAAGAGGTAGGAAAATAATATTGTCCCAATTGGGACTCCCCAGCAAGAATTAGGGATAAGGAAGAATGCTAGCATCTCTCTCAAACAGAGAGGTCAAGAGGACTATTCTTGTGTGAAAAGCCGAAAGTCTGAATCACTAAAGCTAAAAGCCCTACTACAGGTGTGAAATAAGTACACGAACTATAGGCTAAAGCTTGAACATTTAACCATTTGCTGTCTGACTTTGCCCTCAAAACAGGGTGGAAATTAAAAGGTGATTGGTTTAGGTAATCCCAAGAACTAACACATAAAAAAGGTGCATAAAGTATCTTACTTTTTAGGTGCTTGGAGTTGAGGTTTAATGAGTACAACATTAATTGCTGCATTAGTCACTCAGCTGATATAATCAGCTTGTTTAAGCAGCTTGTGAAACCACATAAAGAATGAGTTTCAGAGTAGAATTGTCCCAAAAATAATTTTGTGAGCCCAGGGATCATTAGGATCATTCAGAGTTAAGTATAACAATATGAAACCTTCAATCTTTTTTTTTTCTTTTCTTTTCTTTATTCTCTTCTTGTTTTTATTGTAAAACAAGAAGATTACTCTCCTGTTTTGAGGTAGGAACAAAACCATATCACGTATTCAAGGGGAGAAAACAGTGAAGTTAATTATCATAGAAGACGCAACATCTTTTCTGGAAAATTGCCTTAAGAGAGCTCCAGCCCCACTCTTGAAACTTGGATGTGTTCTGACATAGTAGCCTCTTCTAAAATTTTGAATCTTTGGATTGTAAGCGGCCCCGGCACTTTTGCTTAACTACTGATAAAAGCTTTGCCTCCTACCATTTACTGAGATATTACTCTAGTGAATGTTTCAGATGGTATGGTGATAGGATATGCAGGAGTAGTATAGAGCCGAGAAGAATATTTGTTTTAAAAACTAGCTTTTTATGTTTTGTTTTATTTCTACTGGGGAGCCTATTTTTGTTTTGTTTTGTTTTGTTTTCCTTGAAAATAACTGGTTTTCTCATACAAGTGAAGTGGTGATCAGATTCTTTAGCTATTTATTATTTCTCTTCCCTATGTCTGTATTTGAGAGGTGCCATTAAAACTGATTGGGAATGAGTTGAAGTGAGGGGTACATTAGGGCCTTTTTAAAAAATTAGAAATAATGTCATACGCCTAGATTGCCCATGAAGTACCCTCGTTGACTTGCTTTTCAAAACATAGCTTGTGTATGATTAATGGTTTAGAAGTACTTTTGGCTCAGAAGCCTAGTTTGATTTGATCTTCATGTCTTGGGCAGGACTCATTAGTTAAATGAATACAGGTTATTGGGGTAGATGAGTTCTCTTGCTGAATTTTCCTTGATAGTTCATTGTTGTGGCCTGGTCGGTCTTTTTCCCTTCACTCTTTGAACTATTAGCCCTTTTACAAAGTTACTTTCTTATTTTGGTTTAGTGAAGGATTAATGACTATAGGTGGAGATTTTATCTGAACCATGTTGGTGGGGTTTTTGTTTTGTCTTGAGCTGAAGTATATATTTAAAAATTACAAGTAGATAATATTTTTTGTTCAGTATGATCATTTTGCTCAGAAAGTGGGAGTAGGGCATTTGGTATGTTGGGCCAGGAAGGGACAATTTAAATAGGGACAGAGTGCTTCAGTCCCAGGCAGCCTGCATAATAAATAACTTACTTTCCAACTGAAAATACCACATGTGGTTGCATTACTCTAAATGACATTGAATTAAAACTTGACAGCAAGCACTTAGTTCTGCACACAGCTGATCTTAATTGGAATCTTTTTGGAAGGGAAAACTAAACATAAAATTCTAATTTGTCGATTCATATTGGCTGTGCTAATGGAAATTGACAAGTTGCATGTGGCTAGATGCTCTCTCTTGTCACTTTAGTGGCCATGACTATACTTTAAGCCTGTGAAAAGATAGACTGTTTTATGGGCAATATATTTATGGGTATGTGTACACTCATGCGTTTTGTTTCAGCAAGCTAGAAAATCCATGATGACTTGTTCTATTTATATTTTTATTCTAAAAACTATTTGTTTACTTGCCATGGTCTGTTCATTTCAGGCCTAATTTAATGATTCATTAGCAGATGTAACAAATGTAAATGTGTTTACATTTTAAGAAGTGTGCAGTGGTACTTAAATATCAGCTAACTCTGGGAGGCAAACATTAAGACTACACATTTCTTTTTCTCTTTGATCCAGTGTAAAATTCTTCTAAAAAAGAAGCTTTAAGAATTAAAACCTGAGCAAGTAAGTTCCTGACTTATCCTTCCATACTGCAGTTACCATTATATAACTATAAATATAGCTACAGCTATAGATATAGTGGTATAATGAAAGTTGTTTGAAAATATCTAAATTAAAGAAATTCTTGTCAGTGTCTCTTATAGTTCAGCATTAAGAGTGTATAGAGAGCATAGGGGGATGGGGTGGAAACATACAGAAAGAAAATTTATAAACTCACTTGTGACCTGAAAAGAGATTATATTAAAACAAATAAAAACATTACTCTTCTTGCTCGCTCTTCTCTGTCCTCTGAAATGACACAGTGGATGCTCTTAGTCATCCAGCCTTTGTTTTGCCCTGTTTGATTTAAATGACCCCCTTAAATAGTGTTTTGTTTTAAATCGGGGAAACAGATCTCCAACTACATATGGATCTTGTATATATGTGGAGAGTTGTAGAAAAATCACCAACCCTAGTACCAGTAGCAAGTCACATAAACGTGTCTCCTAAAAACAGATTATGTCCTTTTCCTCCCATCTTGCTTTACACTCTTTAAATGTGTACAAAAACCAGATTTCTGACCTCCAACATCTTTCTAATGCATTACTTCAAAATCCTAATTTTGTCAATATTGATAGGTCTTATTAACATCTGAAAAAATATTTTTAGTTGGGAAACTATAGTTTGTTAGGACTTGAGAGTTGTGTGACAGAATTCTTTTGCTGTGTCTCACCACAGTCGTTGACTCCTTATGGCATGCTTTGATTACTAGACTTCAGGCAGTCTCTTTGGTTGCATCATATTTATAAACAATGAGTAAGTTTTCCTTTCCACATATGTTATATGTCTGAGGTTTTGAAGTTTTAATTTTAAAATGTGATGGTATGAATATAAGCAATTGATTTTGGTAACTTTGGAGTTTTCCTAAAGTACAGAGGTTCTAAGAATAGCTGTGTACACTGGCATTAGAAGAGAGTGGGTTGAGAGTCTAGATCAGAACCCAAGTTCGTTAGGCCAAATGCCAAAACAAAAAAGAGCAATTGACTGAACTTGTGTATTTCAAGAACAGGAAGGGTGTGAAGAGAGACCAAATGTGGTTGCACACACTCTGGTCTCCAGGTTTCCCTCCCTCTGACTGCTCTGGCCTGTTAGTTTGTTTATGCAATTGAAAGGAAAACAGAAGTAAACTTCCTACACTTTGCCTAATTGAGCCACTACCAAGTTTGCTGGCAGCTGTGGCCACATTATCTGTGAGGTGATTTTGTTTTCAGAGTGACTTCTGATTCTTTGTTTTGTTTTGTATGGAGCGGCACTTTATCTGTGTTTTAGCAGAACTGTTCCTCTGTATCCTTTGCAGTTTTTCTTTGTTTTGGTTTCCTTTTTAAATTATGCATAGAGTTTTTTTGTGTGTGTGAAATTAAAGCCTTTATTAACCTTGTGTCGGTTTGACTTATTTCTGAAAAGGACATATTCTTGCAGACACTTAACAATAGTTGTTGAAGTTGTGGAAGTCACCTCCTGTTGGCCTTCAGACCTGGACTTCCGTGCAGCACTGTTAAACCCCAAAGGAAATGGGATGGTAAACCAACATATGCCCACAGTCAGCACCAAGTTCCCCTTAGTTTCTTTTTTGTGGTACGTACCCCAAGCAGGAACCGAACTCAGGACACTCTGGTCCGCAGGTCAATGCTCAGTTGCTGAGCCAAACTGGCCAGGGCTGCTCCCCTTATTTTCATCCGAGTAGCTGGGGAAGCTTTGCAGAGGTTCTGGATAACAGTTTGTAAGCCCAGCATTGGCCTAGTTATGCTCTTCCTTTGCCTTTGTAAGAGCACCAAAGAGGGGGTGTAATAGCATTTGCGATTCATATTTGCCCTTAAGCCTCAAGCCTCGACCCAGTGGATATGTTGCTCTCACTGAGGACTGGTTAGTGAGTCTTGTGAAACCTACTGAGGCCATCTCCTAGGCCACTGAACTCTTTCAAAGAAAGGATCCCAGTTAACTTGTCACCAAGGTAGGTAGGCCGTGAGGGAAGCATATGTGAAAAGGAAAAGCCCATTACTCTGGGAAAGATGTAAAAGTGAAGAATGGTTCTGCCCACCTGCCATTGATAAAGAAAAGCCTATGGAAGATTCCAGAACAGTGTTGGCTCATCTAAGAAGGGAAGTTCTTGAGCAGGATGGTTTAAAGTGATGCAACACCCCAGGATAGAAGTAACATGACCACCTTCCTGAGAGCTGAAATTGGGACCACAGGCTCCTTACCGAGGCATCATCTTTCTGGAGGAGTAGGTTAGTCAACAAAGGTGTTGCCACAGACTGCTGCTCCCAGGTACCAGCGAAGAATTTCACTTTGTAAAGGATTAATACCAGTACCGTCAAACCTCGGTTCTCAAATGTCTCCCATCTCAACATTGTGGTTCTCCACCAAGTTGTTCACAGAAAAAATGTCTTGGTTGTGGAACAGAATGTTTTCTACCTGACAACCGTTTCATGCTGATACCTCAGCATGACAAAAAGGTCTCTGAGGCAAAAAGAAAGGAGAGAATGCCTTTGTTGCTGGTGAAATGGACCATTAGCACAATTTTAAAACAAAAAAGAGGCCTTCAAGAGTGCTGATGCTGCTAACGGTGTGAAAGAAACTGGTCACAGGTGCGAGGTGCCACAGGCTGCCTTCCTGGACAACGGCCCTGGGACTCTTGTTGAAAGGGATTCGGTTAAGGCCAGTAGGGGGGTGGTTTGAAAAATTAAGAAAAGTGTTTGTTTAAAGATTAAACAGTACATTAGACATGTACTGTATATAAGAGATTAAAACAATCATTTGTGGGTCTGAAACGGATTAATTCAATTTATATTATTTCTAATGGGAAAAAATTAGGTTTTGGAACAAACCCGTTCTTGAACAGCCAGCCTTCCAGAATGAATTAAGTTTGAGAACAGAGGTTCCACTGTAATAACAAAATGAAACTGCTTCGAAGCCACAGCGACTTAAAATAGTCCTTTCGCTTTCTTGAGGTTTTGTTGTTTCCATCTAGGCAAGGCAGAGAAGGCGGCTGGAGTCATTCCCAAGACTTTGGTGAAATCCTCAACGGACAGGTGCGCCTAGGACGGACCAAAAGGCAAAGGTCACATTCTTCCCCAGGGTTTGCTTTGATGAGTCATATAGGTGTGGTATAGAAAGCAAATGAAAAGCAAAAACAGGCGATGTTAGGAGAGTCAGGAAAGGGATGAGGCAGGTGGCATTGAAGTCCAAGAAATTTGATCCCTGAATTGGGAACATAATAAAAAGGACGCTAACGAGGTAGATTGAGCTCCTTTTGACCAGGGTCAAGTTCACAGTGGCCCTGAAATAAGTAGGACATTACTTAACTTGGCTAAAGAGTTGCTTCTCTTTCCAGGTCTCTCTCCTCTATAAAACAGGAGAAATTTCTTAAAGGCCAATTTTTGCTTCTTTGTAATGTTTTTATGGTGATGAAAATAACATTACATATGAAAGTTACATTGGAAACAGTGAACTTTCAGCTAGAAGTCCTTTCTAGGACTTGGGTATCTTCAGCCATAAGATGGGATTGCCTGAAATGACCGTGCCTCCCAGCTAATATGACCATACTACTTACTGTTTACACAAGCTAAATGCCCTCAAGGCACACTCAAGTAAGAACCCCAAATTGAAGCAGTTATAAAACAGCACCCTCCAGCCTTTATCTCTGCTCCCCCAGGCACCAGGAGGAATCAGGGTGGGGTGAACGGGTTTCTTCCGAATATCGGGGAGTTGCTCTGGGGAACGCTACTGACTCCGGCAGAGAGCCCTGAACTGAACAGTTGAGTAAACACCTGCAGCTGGATTTCAAGTTCAGGAGGTCTCATGCCCCATTTCTCTAGCCTGTCATTAGATTTGCCTCCAGCCCCTAGGCATTCTCTCCTCAAGGCTCTTGGGAGCCCTCCCCACTCCCCCAGGCAGGGCAGCGGAGTGCCTTGTTTTGGAAGAAGAGAGTAAACATGAGTGGTTTGGGCATCAGTGGATAGGGAAGAGCTGCCTACCCCAAGTCTGTCTGTAGCATTCCCCTCCCCTGCCAGGTCCCTCACAACTGTGTCTCCAGTGTCCTGGGTCTGCGAGTGGCTTCAGGTGCCCTCTCAGGCCCACCCAGGCTGGCTCTGCAGCTTGGTGGAGAATTCTGGACTTTGACCCCCAGGCTAGATAGCAGAGACTGCCCATCCCAGTGGACTTGTATCTTTCCACTGGTCTGGTTCTTGAACCTGCTGTTCTGCCAGCTCATTACTGGCCTCACCCAGGCCCACGTCTGACTATCTGGGGCTTACTCACTGGTGTTCAAACACGCTTTGCCACTGCCTGCAGTCAGACCCACCACCCCACTGTTCACTGCCACTGGCTCCAACTTTGAATTTGGAGCAGCCAGAGGTCTGAAGACCTCTCCCACCCTCCCCACTTGGCATTGAACCCACAGCTCTCCCACAAGAATGTATGCTACTCCCATGATAAAAAATCAGCAATGGACAACTGATTTTTTTAAAAGGCTCTAAGACTTCTTAGACTGCTTCTACTCTGTTGGAGTTGCATTGGTTCTGTTTGTTTCATTCAAAATTAGCAATCCATTTAGTCTCCTATCCCTGGTTCAATAACATCAGCTGCTCTTCCCTTTAGAAGTCCTTTCTTTATGCTACTTGATATGATGTTAACTGGGGGACTCAGAAGACCTGGTTCTTGGTATGTCTTTGCTACTAAGTCGTTATGTCAAATCACTTCCCTTCTCTGCACCAGAGTTTTCTCAAGAGTAGAAAAAGCAGTGATAATCACAGCTTACATTTACAGAGCACTTTTTATGTAGCAGGGGCTGGGCAAATAATATTTGTAATATTATTATTATGAATAATATATTGAGAGCATCCCAGTATTATAGTGAGGACACAGATAGGCATATATGGGACAGAATGCATGGAAGTGCTCTCCAAGGTGAAGGACAGGACGCAAGAGCAATACACTTCCACATACATTGGACCCAAACCCCTAACAGATTTGGATATTCTTAGAGAAATCGGGCATCTCTCATTGGTAGATTTCTTAATTCATTTGTAAGACTTCTTTATGGATTATTACACACAGTAAATTTTCTTTCTTGGTACACCATCAAGCTAGATTTGAATTCTATTTTGGATCTTCATGAAGTGGGAATGAATATTAGAAATGTGTTTTTAGCAAGTTCTTCTTGCCAAACTCTTCCCCCATGGACCAGATGGGTTTGCCCGGCACTCTAAATTGCCTGCCCGCCGAGCACGTATTTCAACCTGGTGTCTCCCAGGTGCTTCAAACCACATCGCTTCCACTGAACTCACGATCACCCTCTAAGCTCAGTCTGACCCAGGTTTTCTTATTTGTTTTTGGTTTTTAATCTCAGAAAATAACACGATTTCTCCCTCTCTCTCTCACACCCTTTATCTGGTACTTACCAAGTGTCATCCATTTTATCTCCAAATATTTCTCTAAACCATCTCCTTCCTGTCACCTTCCCCACCACCACCTATTCTAAACTGTCATCTGCCTCTCAGCCTAACTTTCAGCTGCTGCTTTTGCCACCTTCTAATGCATTCTTCACTGAGCTGCTATAGTGATTGCTTAAAAGCAAAACCTCGCCGCCATCCGCCTGCTTCAACCGTGATGGCTCCCTTCCACTTTTAGGATGACACCCCCATAGCTAATGCGGCGTAGAAGTCACTGCTAGTTCAGCCCCTGACCCTCTGGCCAGCTGCCCCACCCAGCTAACATTGCCACCACTCTGGCGTTTTGCTCCACCCTGTGCTTATTCCCTGCCTCTGGGCTTCCTGCGTGCTGTTCCCTTTCCCAGGAATAACCCACTCTGCCTGAGTTATTGTTCGCCTTTCAGAAGGAATTCTCCGACTAAATCTGGTTCCTTTTTGTAATACTCTTCTGGCACTTATCTTTTTTTTTTCATCCTCACCCGAGTACATTTTTGCATTTATTTTCAAATAAAGCGGGAGAGAGAGGGAGGAAAAGAGAAACATCGATGTGAGAGAGACACATTGAGTGGTTGCCACCCACCCGACCCCAACTGGGGCCGGGAACAAACTGCAACCGAGGTCCGTGCCCTTAGCGGGAACCAAACCTGGGACACTCTGGTCCGCGGGCCAACACTCCGACTGCTGAGCCAAATGGGCCAGGGCTTCCGGCACTTATCTTCACTGAAATTAAATAATAGTGTAATCCGGCTCCTTTGATCTCTCCCTGCACTGAGATGTAAATTCACGTGAAGGTGGAGATCAGGTATGTTTTGTTCCCCAGGTCACCCCCAGCACATGGTCATCTGCAGGGTACAATCTGGGGGTCAATAAGTGTTGTCCAACCAGTGGACAGGCCTTAGCTCTTCTTCAAGTCTGACCCACCTCCTTCCTGCTGGGGTCCACACCCGTAGGGAGCTCCTCCACAGGTACGTTCACCAACTGCTCCAGAGGAAAGATGGGTAGAGGCCCAGAATCGAGGTTGCTGTTAGCATTGAACATGTCCTGTTTAGGGCTCGTGATCTCCTAGGGAAGAAAATGGAACCACTGTTACTTCAACTAGTTTGAGGCTACTTCCCAGGCTGCCTTTCTCTCTGAAGTCAACATTGATGCTAGGGCACCTCCTTCAAGATGCCTTCCATAGTTCTGGCCAGTTTGGCTCAGCAGTTGGAGCATCAGCCTGCGGACCGGAGAGTCCCGGGTTCGGTTCCTGCTAAGGGCACGTACCTCGATTGCAATTTGTCCCTCACCCTGGTTGGGATTGTGTGGGTGGCAACCAGTCGATGTGTCTCTCTCACATTGATTTTTCTCTTTCTATCTTCTTCCCTCTCTCCCTCCCGCTCTGTCTGAGGATAAATGCAATAGTATCCTCAGGTAAGGATAAAAAAAAAAGATGCCTTGCTTTGGCCGGTTTGGCTCAGCGGTTGAGCATCGGCCTGTGGACCAGAGAGTTCCGGGTTCCATTCCCGCTAGGGGCACATACCAAAAAAAAAAAAGATGCCTTCCATAACCCCCAGCCCCCACCAGCCTGCCCACATACACATACACACACTTCTAAGAACACAACATTGAATTAGCATGAGCTAAAGCTTAGTGCTGTGTATCCAACTAAAGCCAATTGGTTCAAGATGACTCTTGTTTTATGACTTTTTTTTTTTTTCATTTATCTTCAGATAGAGCAGGAAGGAGAGAGGGAAGAGAGAGAGAGAAACATCCACTCGATGTGAGAGAGACACATCGAGTGGATGCCAACCACACGACCCCAACTGGGGCCTGGGACAAACTGCACCCAAGGTACATGCCCTTAGTGGAAACTGAACCCAGGACTGTCAGGTCCACGGGCTGACGTTCTAACTGCTGAGCCAAACTGGCCAGGGCTGTTTTATGACATGTTAACTTCTCCATGGATTATCCCAGATGTTCAAAGTCTACCCTGGACATTTATGACCCTCTTTCTCTTATCTGTTGTAAAATTGTCACCTGTGAAGTCACATAGTTTTGACCACCCCATACTTTCCTGCCTGTACCATCAATCTAGTAAGAAGGGTTATAAATGCCACGGGATTCCCAGCCTTGGGTAGGGCTGAAGAGCCATGTGTATTATCTGCTGATGACACTGGTGAGCTTGGGCAATCGCTTCCTTGCTCTGGACACATTTCTGCCGAGTCTCCTTGGCTTTGTTTCACCTGCAATCCTGTGAACTTCTTAAAGAAAAGGTTTTGCTTTTGTATTTCCATATCCCAGCCTCCAGGATACATGCATTTCTTAACCAGCTGAAAGACTGAAGGGGTGCAGCTATTCTACCCGGAGAAAGGGTCCCAGGGCTGACAAGAGTAAGAAATCATTATTTCTCCAAGTGTCATCTATGAACTAACTGCACCAAATTCCCTGGCCCCCTTATGAAAAACACACATATTCCTGAGTCTCAACCCACTTTTATAAACCGGAATTTTGGGGAGTGAGACCTTGGAATCTGCAGTTTACTATGCTTCCCTCACCCCCTAGCTCCTCACCACCCAGTCTCCTATGCATGACAAAAAGTGGGAATCACTTCACTAGGGAATGGAGAGACAAAACAGCCAGACACACTGAAGTGAAACAGCAAGAACTTCCATGAAACGTGGGAGGAAATGATGGGAAGGAAAGCACAGGACACTGGCATCTTCTCTGGAGCTTTCTCAACCCCCACAGCTTTGATCAGGGTCAGATGCCCACTGCAGGGCCCAGCCACCTGCCCATACTCACAGCAGTGATGTGGCCCCAGTCTCCAGAGTTGCCAAGCTCCGCCTTCAGGTCCTCGTAGGATTTGGCATTCTGCATATAAAGCCAGTAACAAATTAGGCCTGGTTCTCAGCAGAGGAGACAAAAGAGCATTTTCCTCCAAGAGTTGAAAGAAGGCTGGCCTAGGGCCTGGGGCTGAGAAAGGGAAGAGGGAGCTAGGTGGGGGCTGGAGGAGGGTCCCTGAGAAAGGAGATGGGATGGTGAGGATTGGTGCTGAAGGAGCTGACAGGTCAGAAAAGGCTGGGACAGGGGGTAATTTGCCCCCACTCAGCCCAACATAGGGACAGAGGAGTATGATCTTTTCTTGCCTGAGATCCCATACAAGCAGTCCCTCAAAGCCTTAAGAACCCTGCCTACACTGTATAGGTGCTTGGGGACTCAGACGTCCTGGAGAACTGGGAGGCTCCCCTTAAAGCCTGGAGGGAACCCTGCCACAGAGCAGTAGAGGGAGTAGGAGGGACCCAGGCTCCATGAGGAACCCTATCTCCACATCCCCAGGGCCTGCACCAAGCACACACATCATGAGCTTCCATTATGCTGAGTGAAAGAAAGAATAAATGAATGAAGTCAGAGAGAATCCGGCCCAGATTTGAGGTGAGAGTTATTGACTTGGGACACTGATGATGGGAATTTAAGAAGTTCTGGCACCTCGCCCAGCCGGTGTGGCTCAGTGGTTGAGCATCGACCCATGCACCAAGAGGTCACTGGTTCGATTCCCGGTCAGGGCACATGCCCAGGTTGTGGGCCCAATCCCCAGTGGGGGGCATGCAAGAGGCGGCCAGTCAGTGTTCTTTGTCATTGATGTTCCTATCTCTCTCTCCCTCTCCCTTCTCTCTCTAAAAAAAATTTAATAAAGAAAAAAATTTTTTAAAAAAGAAATTCTGGCACCTGGATTTGCAACTTTGAGTTGTTTGAATCCATTCTCAAGACTAAACTCAGCCCATCAACCACTGAATTTCTTTTAATGTATTTGAGGAAATTAATCAAAGCTGTTTCCCTAGCCTCATCTGTTGTGCCAATTTAGCACGCCCGAAGCCACCACAGGCCAGCACCCTTTCTTTTTTTTTCTTTTTTTTTTTTTTTTTTATCCTCACCCGAGGACATTTTTCCATTTTTTGTACAGACAGAGTGGGAGGGAGAGAGAGGAAGAGAAAGGGAAACATCGATGTGAAAGGGACACATCGAGTGGCTGTCACCCACACGACCAACCAGGGCCGGGGACAAACTGCAACCGAGGTACATGCCCTTAGCGGGAACCGAACCCGGGTCTTTCCGGACCGCAGGTGGACGCTCTAACCGCTGAGCCAAACCGGCCAGGGCCCAGCACCCTTTCTAACCTGAGCCTTCCTCCTTCCTGCAGAAACTTTCTCTAGGTTCCCCTTTGAGGACCTGCCTCTGCTTCTATCTGGGGCCAGGTTAGGAAACACCCGTGGAAGTCTGATTCACTGTCAGGTAAGGACCACATGCGAGACCTATTTTGCTTAGAATTTAGTACCAGGAAGACGTCTGTCTATCCTTTAGAACTGACATGTTTTCTTTCATCTGGCATGAGGACCACCAGCGCTGTCCCATAGAAGTTTTCATGGTGATGGAAATGTCCTCTTTCTGTGCTGTCCAATATGGTAGCCACTAGCCACATGGGGCTACTGAGCACAGCTCTTACCAATAATGTCCAATAGCTTTGAGCTAAATCTAGTGTACAAGCAAGGTACTGTCATTAGCCTGGGTTTCGACAGACATCCTTCCATCACCCTCTTCCTCACTCTCTTCCTCACCCTCACCCTCAGACTCACCAGGGGGCTTGATAATCTTACTGCAGCCTTACTTTTCACTCCAAGGCCCCTCTAACCCCTTTACAATAGCTCACATGTCATCTATCACAACGGGAATGCCTGCGAGTCCACCTGCCCTCCGGATGTACCATGAGGAAGCCACCCAGAGAAGGATGTGCTGGGCTCTAAGGACCAGGGTGGGCTGAGACCACTCACACTCCACTTGAAAGGATCCCATGCCAGGAACCAGCCTGTGAAGGTAGGGGGCTCATGTCCCTGCTTCACCACAATGATGGGGGTCTCAGGGTCCCGGCCACTGGGGTGAGTCTTGAGGTATTCCTGCACTGTGGTCGCGGCAGCTTTCTTCTCGTCCTCGTTGGCATGCTTCCCGATCCAGAAGAAGACCTGTGGACAGCCGGGAGTTCGGTCAGTCCTCCCTGTCCTCCCGACCCACAGCGTCTGCCTTGGTTCACTCAGGCTCAGATGTCCAACAGTGGAGCCTGCCCTTGGACAGGCCCATCTGGCCTTGACTTTGCATCTGGGCAATGAGGAGATTGGACAGATGCTCTCTACTTGGATATTCTGCAATATGTGACTTCGGAGCCAAAGCCCCTCAAAACACTGCTCTGCCACGTGAAATAAATTGGATTTTTGGAAAAGATACATCCCACGCAGCAGCCCCTCTAGGCTGCCTTCTCCTTTCTCAGGCTTCTATGATAACACTGCTCTGAGTAAGGACACATGGGAGCCAAGGAAACATCAAATCTTCCGTATTTCTAAAGCCAGTGTTTCTTGGCCAGGCCTTGGTTCTACCTGGTCCCAGACATCGAGCAGAAACACATCATCTTCTTCCAAGTCATCCTGATTGAAGTCGGGGATTTCTGTGGCCAGAAAGCGCCCAGTCTGGTTGGAACATTCAAAGAGCCGGGGAGTGAAGACTATATTTTCCTCCTGCAGTCTGCAGAATGAAGAAAAGATTGTGTTGGCAGAAGGAAGGTGTGGGGAAGAGAATCAAGGACACAGAACTCTGAGAGAGGGACTCCAACATGGAAAGCCCTCTTCTGATCACATGAAAGTTCCCCCCTCCTCCCAAGAGTCTAAGAGTACTCCACGGGAGAAATTCCCACTGATTTTCCGGGGCATGCATTCTAGTAGCTCTTCTCTAGTCCTGTTAGGAAGTTCTTGCTAATATCTTCCCTCTATCCCTCCTGCTGCTACTGCAGTACATGCCCTTTAGCTTTTTTATTTATTTTTACTTTTATTGTTGAAAGTACAGTCATCCCTCGCCACTTTGTGAGGGACAACTGTATATAAATAAAGAATTCTACTTTGCAGAAATTCATTTTTCACGGAGAGTCTGGAACTAATTAACCACGATAAATGAAGGCCGACTGTATTACAGATGCCCCTCCCTTTTTCCCCATTGACCCCCCTCCTCCCAGCTCTCAATCGCCCTCCTGCCTTCCCCACACTATTGTCTGTGTCCATTGGTTAAGCATATATGCATGTAAATCCTTTCGTATCTCTTCCTGCACCCTCCCTCCCCCCAGCCCTGCCTTCTGAGGTTTGTCAATCTAACAACCAATTTGTACTTCTTAATCCCTTCACCTTTTTCACCCATTTCCCCAACCCACCTCCCATCTGGCAACCATCAAAAAGTTCTCTGTATCTATGGGTCTGTTTCTGTTCTGCTGCTTGTTCATTCATTTAGTTTGTAGATTCAATGTTTACAGATAAGTATTTATTGCCATTTTATTGTTCATATTTTTTATCTTCTTCTTCTTCAAGTAGACCCTTCAACATTTCATAAATACTGGTTTGGTAGTGATGAATTCCTTTAGCTTTTCGTATCTGGGAAGCTCTTTATATGTCCATCGATTCTAAATGACAGCTTTGCAGGATAGAGTAATCTTGGTTGTAGGTCCTTGCTTTTCATCACTTTGAGTATTTCTTGCCACTCCCTTCTGGCCTGCAGAATTTCTTTTGAGAAATCAGTTGACAGCCTTATGGGAGCTTCCTTGTAGGTAACTACAGTAATTGCTTTTCTCTTGCTGCTTTTAAGATTCTCTCTTTGTCTTTAACATTTTTCATTTTGATTATAGTGTGTCTTGGTGTGGACCTCTTTGGGTTCATTTTGTTTGGGACTCTCTGCACTTCCTGGACTTGTATGTCTGTTTCCTTCACCAGGTTAGGGAAGTTTTCTGTCATTACTTTTTCAAGTAGGTTTTCAATCTCTTGTTGTCTCTTCTCCTTCCACATCCTCATGATGTGAGTGTTGGTACACTTGAAGTTGTCCCAGACAACTATCCTCATTTTTTTGGATTCGTTTTTCTTTTTGCTGTTCTGATTGGGTGTTTTTTGCTTCCTTATATTCTAAATCAATGGTTAAATTCTTGGCTTCACCTACTCTACTGTTAATACCTTGTAAATTATTATTTATTTGAGTTAGTGCATCCTTCCTTTCTGACTAGTCTATTATGCTCTTGAGGTCCTCACTAAATTCCTTGAGCATCCGTATAACCAGTGTTTTGAACTCTGCATCTGTTAGATTGCTTATCTCCATTTCTGTTCATTCTTTTCCTGGAGTTTTATTCTGTTCTTTCATTTGGGACATGTTTTGTTGCCTCCTTATTTTGGCTGCCTCCCTGTGTTGCTATGTATTAGGTAGAGTTGTTATGTCTCCTGGGCTTCTTAGGGTGGCCTATTGTAGTTGGTGTACTATAGGGTCCAGTGTCATAGCCTCCCTGATCACCCCAGCTGGGCCTTCAAGGTGCACCCCCCCATGTGGACTATATACCCTTCTGTTGTAATTGAGTCTTAATTACTGCTGGCATTTCAATGGGAGGGATTTACTCTGGCTGATCAGCTGCAAGGACTGGCTATGACCTCTGATCACCTGGGAGGATCAGCTGTGCTGGGGCCCACTATACAGAGCAAGACTTACTCCAGCAAGGCTCTGGTACCCACTGAGTCCACCCTTTGAGTGCGTCACTTGTGGAGGTGGTTGGGTCATGGTGCTTCGATGTATCTGAAGCTATCTACTGGGTGTGCTGGATCTGGGACCTCCTCCTGGGAGGTGCAGACCAAGGTCAGCCACTGCCTGTGTTTTACCTGGGGCCACCAGGCATAAGCTACAAGGTGACCTGCAGATGGCTGCTTCTTATGCTGTGTTTGGAGGTGCCCAGGAGAGGCCAACCTGTGAACCAAGACTGGCTGCTGCTAATGCCAGGCCTGGGTCCACTTAGCAAGAGGTATGGGCTTCACTGAGGCCAGATGCTGCTTGTTTGAGAGATTTTAGGAGAATCCAAAGCTTGAGCCAAAACAGGCCAATCCTATGGAAAACAGCTTGGGTGGGTCTGAAAGTTAGATGGGGCAGGGCCTCAGGGAATCACCAGGGCGGGGCAAACAGTGTGATCCAGGTTGCTGGAGTTCTGGTTATGGCGCCTATGTGCCTGCCTCGTGGGGGAAGGGCTCACCCAAGGCACAACAGCCTCCTCCAGCGCATCTCTCCGGGAGAAAGCTGCCCTACAGCTCTCACCCGGATACCACACAACGCAGTTCTTCCCCATATGTCTCTGGTGCCTTTCAAGCTGCCTCCCCCATGCTGGAGCCCAGAGGGAGCAAATGAGAGTAAGTCCGTTCACAGGCCCTTTAAGAGGAGCTGCCTGGACTCCAGAAGCCTCAGCCTCAATTCCCACTGGTTTTTACAGCCAGAAGTTATGGGGATTGCTCTTCCTGACACTTGAACCCTGAGCTGGGGAGCCTGGTGTTGGATGGGGACCCTTCACTCCTCAGGGGGCACCTTCACAGCTGAGGTATCCTCCTGATTTTTATCCAACACACGTGGGTGTGGGGCCTGCCCCTCCACCCCTCCTACCAGTCTTGGTGTGGCTGCTTCTTTCATTTCGTAGTTGTAGGACTTCCATTCACCAGATTTTGGGGGGAGGGGTACGTGCCCCTAGCGGGAACCGAACCCAGGACTCTCTGGTCCACAGACTGACACTCCAACTGCTCAGCCAAACCAGCCAGGGCTAGTTGTAATTTTGATGTGGTCATGGGAGGAGGTGAGTATCGTGTTTACCTATGCCGCCGTCTTGATCGGCAGTCCCCCTTTGGCTTTTGAACTGAGGGTCATGGATCTTAAGAAAAACCATTTGAGCCCTGGCCTGTTTGGCTCAATGGTTAGGGCGTCGGCCTGCGGTCCAGAGAGACCGGGGTTCAGTTCCCACTAAGGGCACGTACCTCGGTTGCAGTCTGTCCCCGGCCCTGGTTGGTCGTGTGGGTGGCAGCCACTTGATGTGTCCCTTTCATGTCGATGTTTCTCTCTCTCTCTCGTCCTCTCTCTCTCTCCCACTCTATCTGAACAAAAAATGGAAAAATGTCCTCGGGTGAGGATAAAAAAAAAGAAAGAAAAGCCATTTGAAAGAGGGTTTACAGCTGGTGCTCCTCAGCATCTGGGTCCCGTACTAACTCCAAAGGGCAGGAACTGCGTGGGCTCTGACATCTTCCCAAAGGGCAAACCTTTCTTTGAGCTGCCTCCTGTGGCTGTGAGCTCTCCAGCAGAGAAACACTCCAGCCGGCCCCAGACAGACCACGGTGAGCAGCACAGACACAGGCCTGTGCCTAAGAGGTTCTGAGGGCGTGGACTGCTCCTGACTTATCTTGTGGCCCTGGGGGCCCATATAGAGTCCTCAATCCATGCCTGCTGCAGGCTCTGGGCAACAGAGTGGAGGTGCTGGGAGGTTCTCCAGCCTAAGAAGGTGAGCTGGAGGCAGAGGGACCCTATAGTCACTTACCTCTTGGTGTTGGCGTAGGGTGCCTTCCCGCCCAGGGCCACCCAGAAGTTGGCTGGCTCCTGCCCTTCCACCACCACTTGCTTCTCCGTCCGAGAGATGGTATCAGCGACCATCTTGGCCATCTCCCGTTCGTCTCCGCTACAGCCCTGAGAAAAGGGGGGATGGATGTGCTAGGGGAGACCATCTCTAGTGCCGTGCTGACCCCCACCCTTCCGCCACATTCACTGAGCTCTCAGGTCTGCAAGGGCTCTCTTGTATCAGCACTCTGAGCACATGGCTGATGCAGAGACAGTTCTCCCATCCTCTCTCCTTGACACCCCAAAGCATGGCAGAGGAGAGAGTAGAAGCTTTGCTGTCCTTACAAGGCAGGAGAAAGACTACTGGAGGCTAAGAGTCCTCATTACAGAGCTAGATGGAGAGGCAGTGACAGGCACAGGGATAGTGAGACAGAGCCTAAGACATAAAGATGGACCAATACTGGGACAGACAGGGGTGGCCAGAGACAAACAATGAGAGAATGACTCAGACAGGGGCCTAGAATCTGAGGATGGCCAGACCCAAATCTGTGGAGGAGGAGATGGGACTGGAGGCAGCTGGGCCTGTTCAGCCAGAGGCTCCCACCCTGACCCAGGTCTGCTCTGACGCTGGGAGACCTGTACACACCTTCCCACACCACAGGTAACAGCAGGACTGGGTCTTGAGGATGAAGACATCATTGGAGTTGAGGGAGGTGGCCCGGGCTGAGACCTCAAAAGCCTTGGTGCTGTTGGCACTCGTTCCCCGGACCTGAAACAGCCGTGTGGAGGGCACGGGCTCCGGGTTGTAAGCTCGGGAGGTGCCTCCCTGCAGGGTGTGAAGAGAAAGCAGAACTTAGTAAAGATGAGGGGGAATTAGAGGGGTATAGAGAACCAGAAAGAGAGGTTGGGGCAGGGTCTGCCTGCCCCTCCAGGTCCTTATACATCAAATTAATCTTTCCAAAACATTTGGTCATGGCACTTCCCTGCTCAAAAACCTTCAGTGGCTCCCTACTGCTTATAGACTAGAGTCCAGCTCTTCAAAGGGGCCTTTGAAGGCCCCACACGATGAAGGGCAAACTGCCTTTCCAGACTTACTCCACTCTCTCCAAACCTTCCAGTTCACCTTGGCCAGGCTTCTGACTGTTCCCAACAGAGCCCTTCATCCGGGGCCTTTTTCCTTGCTGCGCCCCCTGCGTGGCATGCCCTCATCATACCTCTGCTGAGCTCTTCAGCTGACTCCAATGTCAAGACTTCTTTCAAACCCTCTTTCCACCAGGAACTCCATGACTATTCCCAGATTACTCTGTTCACATTCCCCTTTGAACTCAGCTTGTATTACTGGTGTTTACCCATATGGTGCCTCAGGCTGTTAGTCCACAGCTCTCCCAACAAGATGGTAAACAGCACAGCATTCTTCTCCCCACTTGGCACTTTGCAGAGGGCTGTGCACTTAGTAGGTGCTCAATAAACAGGTTGTTGCTTAAATGATGCAGAAGCTTTCTATTCTATTACGTTGGAAGGCACCAATGCAGTTTGGACAGGTCCATTGTTTAGGCGAGTCTAGCCAAAACAACTTCCTCTTTCATGTAAAGGACCCAAAGAGTTGGGGTGTGGAGAGAAACAGTACTTGCACATGCTAAGTGCTCATTGCATGTTTTTGTTTTTTTTATCCTCACCAGAGGACATTTTTCCATTTTTTGTTCAGATAGAGTGGGAGGGAGAGAGAGGAAGAGAGAGAAAACATCAATGTGAAAGGGACACATCGAGTGGTCGCCACCCACACGACCCCAACCAGGGCTGGGGACAAACTGCAACTGTGGTACATGCCCTTAGTGGGAACCGAACCCGGGTCTTTCTGGACCGCAGGCCAACGCTCTAACCACTGAGCAAAACCGGCAAGGGCTCATTGCGTGTGTTTTTAAAGCACTGAGTGGTTGTTCCACGTCAGTGATGGAGCCTCAAGAGTCCTCTCCTACAGAGAAGGGCTTCACCCACAGCCCCACCCCCATCCCCAATCCCCATTCGCATCTCCTGGACGCCCACCCTGCCTCAGTTGCAGGTACTGCCAGGCCCCTCAGTCCAGCAGCCACACCTGGTAGACCACCATCTGTCCCTTGAAGATGGACATGAGATGAGGTGGCTCCTTGCCCATTGGGACTCGGATCTGGACTGGCTCATTGTTGTACTTCTGATCCAGGATGACGGCTTGATAGGCCGAGGCTGTGATCTCATCCTGGCTGGCCTGGCTGCCCTGGGGAGGAACAGAATGGAAATGGTGGGATGAGGCCAACCCCTGAGTCTGACCCTATCCCTGGCCTCAGTGACAACTCCATCCCCAATTCTGACCAGGCCTCAAACCCAACTGTCTTCCCATCAAACATTACCTTGTCATAGCCAAAAACCCAACGTGACCCTGATCTCAGTTCTGATCCCAGCCCCAGCCCAACCCTGACCCACCTGCAACCCCAGCCTTGATCCCAAACCTCCTCTGCTCCTCACTGTTTGTTTCTTGGGGAAACACCATGGCTACCACACCACTCACTCCCAGCACCCAAGCATCTCCCTGCTCTCTCACATGTGGACACAGGAACCCACAGTCAGAGCAGGTGAAGGGACAGTGCAAGAGGCCATGGAAATGGGAAAGGAGACTCAAAAGGGGGAACAAAACAAAAAGGAAAAGGGTTGTGAATGGGGGTACTCATTGTCAGTGGGATCTCACACCCAAAGCTGTCCCAAGATGGAAAAGGGGTGAGTTCCCCATCACCGGGAGTATGAAACACAAAGAGCATGGCCACTAGTCCAGCCAATGTGGCTTGGTGGTTGAGCATCGACCCATGCACCAAGAGGTCACCAGTTTGATTCCCGGTCAGGACACATGCCCAGGTTGTGGGCCTGATCCCCAGTGCGGGGCATGCGGGAGGCGGCTAATCGTCATCGATGTTTCTGTCTCTCTCTCCCTCTCACTTCCTCTCTCTCTAAAGTCAATAAAGGGGAAAAAAAAAAAGAGCATGGCCACTGGCAAGGGTACAGTGGGAAGGAGCTGAGCTGCTCTTCTGGATGGGGCGGGTGGGGTCTGACCTGCCAGATGTAGAGCAGGTAGTTCGGCTTCTGGCCAATGAGGTAGGTGTAGAGCAGCAGGTAGCAGTCGCCCCCATAGAAGTGACCCAGCCACTTGGACTCCACAGGCACCAGCTCTAGGTTCTCAATGCGCCACACCTGGGACCAGTACCAGGTTAGTGTGAGGTCCAGGATAGACTTCACTGACCCCTCCCCCCCAGGGGTGGCCTCCCTCCCCTCACCGTACCTGCACCTCCCCGCTCCCGTCATCTACCATCTTCTGCTGGGCAGCCACCTGAGGCTGGACATGCATGGACATGGCATCAAACTTCACCTGCTCCACCTTGGCTGTAGTGAAGGGAATCGTGGCACTAAATGTTACTAGCTGAGGTCCTCCAGGTCCTTACAACAGCTCTAAGTGGTAGCTCTAACGCTTAGACCCACTTTAGAGATGACGAAACCAAGACCAGAGAGATTCAGTAGCTTACCCAACGTTACACATGGCAGAGTTATAATACAGAACCATATCTCCCTGTCCCTAAGACTCATGCTTCACCAGGGCACCCAAGGGAGCCAGGAGAGGGACCACCCTTTTATTCTCCCCCAGGTGCCTGGCACTGAGCTTGCCCTCAGCCAATATTGTCTTGGTGAGAGACTAAGCTATTTGGTTTCCAGGGAGACTCAATCCCACTCCAAATGAAAGGCAAGTCATTCTCAGCTCCCATTTGTGGCAACTCTTGAGTTTCTCCATGCCCCTGGTGTCCCTACACCACCTGGGGAGCACAGATGTGGGGGGCGGGGTGCTCATGGAAGAGGAGTGGCTGGGAAGGAGGGCAAGAGGCAGGTCAGGTCTGGGTGCTCCTGGCCCCACTCCAGGCTCCCAGCCCACCCTGCCTCACCCGGCCCTTACCCACGGAGCCCACGGTGTGGGTTTTGCCCAGGCCTGAGGTCCGGTTGGGCACTGTCCACTTCTGGAAGAGCTGCTGGAAGACAGCGGACTCGGCCCCATCATTCTGCACCTCCACCTGCGTGCTTGGGGGGTACTGCTTGGCTTTGATGAAGTTCTGGGAAGAGAGGGGGTGACTGGGGTTGTGTCCTATCCCTAGCTACCACTCCCCAGTGCAAGCCAAAGCCTGGCTCTCACCCCAACCAGACCCAACTATAAACCTACCCCTGGTCCCACACCTAAACAAGAACCCAAACCTAGTCCTAGTGCTGACTGTGCCCTGACCCGCACCCCAAAGCCTAACCAGACTTTACACTTGACACCATCCCAAACCTACCTCTGACCCCCACCCCAAGGCCAAATCTGACCCCAAACTTGACCCCGCCTCAGTTTTAACCTGGACCTCAGCCACATCTTCCAACTTGAACCCAACCCTTAATCCAATGCTGACCCCAAGCCAGTTAGGGTTACTGGCTCCTACCCAACAATGACCCCAAACTCTGATATGGCCCTGCCCCATGCTGATCCCATCCTCTCTGCGGGAAGGACAGCCTCCATTTTTCTCTCCCTTCTCTGAACCCAGCTTAAGGTAGGAGCCTGTATCTTGAGGAGGCCCCATGTTGCCTGGGGGTTGATTCCCTTGTGTGCAGAGAACCCCCAAGATGGCTAAGAACAGACCCTCGGACCCCCAGCTGGGTCAGGCCTGGAGCCTCCCCTGGCCTTTACGCCCCCGTCTGACCCTACTTCCCTCTCCCTTCCACTGTCTCTCTCCCTGTTCCTCACAACCCTCCTCCCCAACCCCATGCCCACCAGGGCCTGGCTTATGGCTCCCTTCCTCTCCTGGGCATTGGCATTCTTCCCCTTCCACACGTAGATCTTCAGGCCCCCCTGGTCCAGGATGTAACAGTCCTAGAGGCAGGAGAGAGACCCAGAATGAGGGCTGATGGCGCGGAGCTGGGCTGGGAGCCGCTGGCACAGAAAGCCTCCCTCCCACACCCCCTGGCCCCGTGCTGCTGGGCTCGAGGAGCCTGGGCAAGGAGCAGGGGCTGGGAGTCAGGGAGGGGCCTCCACACCCTCTCACCTCATGTTTGAGCAGGTCTTGCGTGAGTGGCCGTGTGGCGACTTCTCTGACCACCAGCTTTCCCTCTGTGTCAGACACGCTGCAGGACAAAGGTACAGCATAGGCCAGGAGGTCTCACACCCCGCAGCTGGGCAGCCTGCCCGCCCCCCCAGCCCCTCAGCGCCCAGGAGGAGCCCAGCTGGGCACTCACTGGTACAACTTGAGAGCGGCCTTGAGTGCCGGCTCCACCACCGTGTCAGGCACGGCTGCCTTCAGCTCCCTCCGCTTGCCCAGCACGTGGTTCATGACCTCCATCAGCTGTGGGGACTCCTTCTCATTCTCACCGTCCACCACTGCCACGTAGGTGCGCCCACCCCGTTCCTGGTCTCGGATCTCTTTGGCAAGGGTCATGCCCTGCAGGGAAGCACTGGGTGACCCATGGAAGCTGGCGGGGACAGGGCGGCATCCACCACCACCCCAAACCACGCCAGGAGACCACAGGCAACCCTGCAGCAGCCCCAAGGGGTAAGGCATCTCCCTACTTTTCTCCTTTGAGGGGGACCAGGCTTTTAAGGTGCATGTGAGGAAACCAGGTGAAAACCTTCTGGGAAAGTAGGTTTCCTCACTGGCAGAAAGGTGTTTCGGGTGGATTTTGTGGGCCTTCATTTCTGACATTGTTTGAAAATTGTGATTTTACTTCACAGTTTTGGACAAAAGCTGAGCTCTGCAGATCACAGTACTTAATCTCTTTGCCCGACAGCATGCTTGAACACATGTACACACACACACAAAGACACAGCTTCACAAGTGCACACACACGCACAAACACACAGCACAGTTTCTCATGTCCTCACACACAGACTCCACCCCCCCAGGGTGAACAGTCCACGTGGGCTCACACACACTCACACACACCCTGGCCCACCCTCCTCAACCCAGTGCCTTCTGTTCAGTTACTGGCACTGAGTCCCAGGCACCCTCTCTCCCGCTCCCGGGTGAGCTCACCCTGTTCCATATTTCCATCTCCAGCCCAGCTCTCTGCTCTCACCTAATTCACCCAACTTCCGTGAGAGCCCCATTTTAAGATGTCTGAAACTGAACTCTACATTTCCTTCCTACATCTGTTGCTTGCTGATCCCTCCCGTCTCAGGAAGTGGGACTCGGCCCATCCCTATAATTGCTGCCTCACCCCTCTCTTCACCCCCGTGCAACACACAAGTCCAGTGGTTCCACCTTTCCAGTCCAAGGAACCGGGGCACCTGCCCCTCTCCTCACCTGATGGACAGAGGGCTCGCTCTGTCCCCTTAGCTCCTTCACCTGCTTTTGTCACTCAAAATTCAGTGGGCCTTCAACAGCCTTCCTGGCACTGAGAACAAATCCCAACCCCCCTACACAGCCTTCGGACCACATGCCATGCCCTGTGAGACCTGCTGGCCTCCTGTCTAAGCTCCCTGAAACTCCATCTCATGCTCTGGCTGCTCTGGCAGTCCCCCTACCCCAGCCATCCAGCTCCTGCCTTAGGGCCTTCTCCTCCCCGCCCTCCTCAACTCCCAGGAGTTCCCCAGAATCCCTAGAGCTAGTACCCCACCCCTCACTTCTCCGCCATCCCTTCATGTCCGTCTCCCCCACTGGATGGCCAGCTAGAACCCAGAGCCAGGGCAGAGCTCTGCCGACTTCGTTCACTGGATCGCAAACGCTTGGCCCAGGGCGGACCACACAGCGGGAACCCACTAAATCTCAGGGGGTTAGCCGCAAGTGCACACGTCAACTCCAACATGCATGCCTGTCCCCAAACACACGGAGACTCGGATCCACCTTCCGACACGCGTCTGGGGAGAGAGCCTGGGGAAGTGGGGCAGGCTGGGGCGGCAGAAGCCGGCAAGCCTCACTGGGGAGGTCAGGCGCTGGTGTGCAGGGGCGGGTGGGGCTTGGGGGGAGGGGTGCTGCATGGGCAGGGTTTACCCTGAGTCTCTCCATGCGGTTACTCTCCGGCCCGTTCCACTGGATGATAAGCTTCCCAAGGTCCAGGAGAAAAACATCCCCTCGGTTGAAACTCTTCCAGGACATCTCCACCTGGAGAGCCATGGGAAAGGTACAGACCCTACTCAGACCCCTTCCATCATCCATCATCTCTTCCCCATCACCCCTCCTCGGCCTCTGCCCTCCACCCAGGCTGGGAGGGGGACAGGAGACCATGCCTTAGGGCGCTGGTTGGTGCCCACCTCTCCAGCCACCACGTTCCTCTTGCCCTTCACATGCAGCAGCCGGCGGACCTCACTGGAGTTGGTCTCCACATGCTTCATGCCGGAAGCCACGCCCCCTTTCCGGATCCTAGGAAGAAAGGTGAGCTGACCCGAGAGTGGGCTGGGAAGTATGACAGGGTGCCTGGCTGCCACAGGGCCATCTGGGGACTGGGGCTGGGACTAGGGTGAGGTGCCTGAGACACCTCAGGTGCAAACTTTAAAAAAAGAATTTTTTTTCTTTATTGATTTTTAGAGAGAGAGAAGGAGAGAAGAAGAGAGAGAGATAGAAACATCGACGAGAGAGAACATCGATTAGCTGCCTCCTACATGCCCCCCACTGGGGATCAGGCCCACAACCTGGGCATGTGCCCTGACCGGGAATCGAACCAGTGACCTCTTGGTGTATCAGTCAATGCTCAACCAGTGAGCCAAACCGGCCAAGCCTCAGGTGCAAACTTTAAGAAGACATTCACTCTCAGGGTCATGCAAGTGTCAGGTTGGTGCATTGCCCACATTGGCATGACCCTGGCAGTGAGTGCCTTCTGAAACTTTGCACCTTTGGCTGCCTCACTCCACCTTAGTCTCTCCCCTCCTGAGAGGCCTTTGAAGACAACTACACGGTCATGTGGAAGGACAGTGCAGGACTCTGAGGGCAGGGACTGAAGGGGAGGAAGAGAGCAGATTCCATGGACTGAGCTGTATCCCTTCCCAACTCATATGCTGAAGCCCTCACCCCCAGTGTGTGGTGTTGGAGATGGGCCTTTGGGAGGTAACAGTCTTGAGGAGGTTTAGATGAGGTCATGGGAGTGGGGCTCTTATGGTGGGACTAGGGCTCTTATAAGAAGAGACATCGGAGAGTTTCATTCTCTTCTCCGGGTGAAGACACAATGAGAAGGTGGCCATCTGCAAGCCAGCAGGGGAGCCCCGGCCAGCAACCAAAATAGCCGGCACCTTGATCTTGGATTTGCCAACATCCAGAACTGCAAGGACATTAATTTATGTTGTTTAAGCCACCTGGTCTATTTTGTATTTTTTGTATTTACTGTACTTTGCTATGGCAGCTCAAGCAGAGTAAGACAGAAGAGGTGCCAGCTCAAATGCCCAAAGGGGTGAATGCTGCTGTAAGTGTGAGAAGAAGGGGAGCAGCAAGACCGAAGGTGGGGGACTGTGGCTCACTGGAGAGCTCCTGGCCTATACTACAGAGCAGTAGCAACTCGGTGTTCCCATTGGAAAAGTCCAGAGGCTAGAACTTCGGACTTTTCAAAAAAGTAGGGCATGTGGCTTTTAGTATGAAAAGCCTGTTTTAGATAAAGGAGCAGTCATTTGCCAGTTGGTTAGAGGAGAGACTTGATGTGATGCCCTGAAGGTTAACTTACAAAATTCATGGTACACAGAGTTACAGAATTTCAGAATGGCATTTGGTCAGCCAAAGACAACACTCGGAAGAATGAAGACCAAGGACAAGGCCACAGCAGAACCGGGAGTAGGGGAGTGGAAAACGCTAATCACCCTCATGGGCTCCCCCCCAGCCTCGGGCTCCCTTCCCAACCCTAGCTCTGTCCCCCGGCCTCAGGTGTTCCGCCCCTGGCCGGTCCCCCTCCCCAGCCTGCTCGTCCATACACAAGGCCCTGCTTGAAGTAGCTGCGGAAAGCCTCGCTCTCATTGCCTTGGACCTCTCGGTGCTGGACAGCCCGGCCTTTCAGGAAGTCGTCCATCTGCGTGGTGTAGATGGCAGCCGCCCCTTGCTCGTCCTGGGACGAGGCCTGGCCGATCCAGTAGTGGATGTCATAGGACAGGCTGCTGCCCGTCTTGTGGATCTAGGGAAAGGGGATGTCCAATGTACTCAAGACCTTGGGCTCCCACAGCCTGCCTGCTTTGTGTGGTCTCCCACACACATGCGGCCGGGGCCACAGATGAGCCCTGAGTTATGGCTCCCGTCTTCCCCTGAGACAAGGGCAAGTGGCTTCCCCGCTGGGCCTGCTCATCTCCTCTTGGAAATAACTTGGCTGGACTATAGCGGCATTTTCCAAAGTGATTTGCATGGACTATCAGAGGTCCACAAGGTGATTAGGTGATCAAACAAATGTCTATAAATAACTATTATGTAAATATTTTATAGCTCCTTTCTGTTTGGGACACAGGACACAGCTTTCCACTATGGTAACGATATAGAGTTATATTTTTTAATAAATATATTTAAAATTTTAAAGTGAGTTAATAAGAAATAATACAAATGCATCAATAGCATAGGTAGTACCAGGATGTGGCCAAAACTAAGAGGGTGATATGAAGATGACTGTGAATTTTGGCAACAGGGACTTGAGGTAGAGTGACATTCCATCAGCTCAGAAGGTCCCCAAGACAATAAATCTACGGAAGGTCTTCTCAGCTGGGAGCTCAGTGGCCCAAGGGCAGGGAGAGCCTCTCACATCGCTGATCCTATCAAGCACGGTGCCTGGGCACACCCAGTAAGGACTGTCTTGGGCTGAAGCCAGGCCAGCTGTTCCCACTGCCCAGCCTCAGGTTTCTTCCCTGATACCACAGTGGGCTTTGCTCTCTACTCAGCCCCCTCCCCTGCCCACCCCCTCCACTCACAGCCAGGACAACGTAGCAGTCACCATCGAAGAAGCTACCAAAGGAGCTGGGAGGAACAGGCACCATCTGCATGGCCTAGGGAGAGAAGGGAGGTCAGAGGGGCTGCCCTGGACCACCCCAGCCCCCACTTCCACTTCCTCCTCCCTTAAGCACAGGAGTTGGGAGGGGCAGAGAGTCAGGAGGAGGAGGGCAGGACAAAGCTGATGAGGAGAAGGGATGTGAAGGTGGGAGGAGGTAAAGGAGCAGGAGGAAGAGGCTGATGCCTGAGGAGAGGGCAGAGGGGCATTTGGGGACAGTATCAGGGGCTCCCACACTAGCAGGGAAGGATCGAAGGACAGTAAGAGTAACCCCAGGCCTTTCCTTCCCTCAGTCCTCTCCCCCACCCCACACCCAGGCAGACCTCACCTCGATCCTCCATATTCGCACCCCAGGGGTGGTGATGTTGAGGGAGCCTTTGACTTGGGCGCTCAGTTTGGTCATGGCGACAAGCCTAAGGGGGAAGAAGTGTGAGAGGAAGCACTGAGGAGCTGGGGGCACCCTGGGGTTCAGATGCTGCTTGCTGCTCTTCCAGCCCAGCCCTGGGAGTTCCCATCAGTGCCAGGAGGCCAGCGCTCAGGGAGCTTGGGGAGGAGAGGGGGCTTGGCTCCCTGTGCTGGGTCCTGATTGGCTGAGGACTGAGACCCATTTCTGATCTGTCGCTCTTTCCTCAAACACCTACCTTGACTCTCTGTCACCTTCTGAATAAAGCCCCCACTCCTTAGACTCTCACTCCAGGCCCTTCTTTATCTAGCCCCAAACCATTTTTCTTTTTGAAAAATTTTCATCAAAGCCATGCTTGGTTAAAAAAAATTAGATTTTTTTGTTTGTTTGTTTTTTAAGAAAGCAAAGAATAATAAAGGCTGAAAAGTGTATGCACCAAAAAGAATGGAAAGAGCAGGTGTTCAAACAAATGCTTGAACATAGCAGCATGATTCACAATAGCCCGAAAGGTAGAAACCTCCCAAATGTCCATCAGCAGATGAATGGATAAACAAAAGGTTGTATATGCCCACAATGGAGTATTTTTTAGTCATAAAATGTACTGATACATGCTACAATGTGGGTGAGCCTTGAATACATTATGTTTAGTGGAAGAAGCCAGACACAAAAGGCTTGTATTATATGACTATTTATATGAAATACCCAGGATAGGCAAAACCATAGAGATAGCATGGTTTTCAGGGGCTGTGGAGAGAGAGAAATGGGGAATCGCTGCTATTGGGTATGGAGTTCCCACGTGGGATGTTGAAAAAAATCTAGAACTAGACAGAGTGGTGACGGCTGTGCAATGTTGTGACTGTGCTGAATGCCACTGAACTGTATGCTTTCGGGTGGTTAAAATGGTAAATCTTGTGTTGTGTTTTACCACAATAAAAAAGTGTATGCAGCAGTTTCCTGTTCCTTCCCAGCCACCCCCAAGCACCCCTCAATCACTGTTCTGGTGGACCGCAAGATGTAAATTCCGCAAGGGCGGGGTCAGGTTCATTTGTTCCGTACTGAATCCTCAGCACCTAGCCGGTGCGGCACTTTGCTGGGTGGGTGGGTGGATGAATGGCAGAGTGAACCTCCCACTGTGAACTGCCCTTCACCTGCTGAGCTGGAAGAAACCGCCCCTCCCCAAGCCTTTTTTATGGCACTTTGGGTTTTGATCTGTAGCTGTGTTCTGCACTTCAGCTGCTCATCGCAGTCACTCGGGGAGCTTTTAAATAATAGTGATATTCCCACCCTGGCTGGTTTGGCTCAGCGGTCAGAGCGTCAGCCGGTGGACCAGAGAGTCCCGGGTTCGGTTCCCGCTAAGGGCATGTACCTTGGTTGCAGTTTGTCCCCAGCCCCGGTTGGGGTCATGTGGATGGCAACCAGTCGATGTGTCTCTCTCACATGCATGTTTCTCTCGCTCTCCCTCCCACTCTATCTCAAGATAAATGCAAAAATGTCCTTGAGTGAGGATAAAAAAAAAAAATAGTGATAGTCTCGTGTGCAAGCCACGTCCCCCAGGTTGCTGGCTTATTAGCCCAGGGTAGGTGAGGCATGGTGCTTTCAGAACTCCCCCGTGATTCGGATATGAGCCAGGGTGGAGGACCACTTGTCCCCAGCTGGCCTCACCCCTGGTTCCTGCCCTTCCCCACCGAGCCCACCACCCGGAGCTGCCCTCCTTGAACTGACCCCTGATGAATGAAAGGTCAGGTGGGCCCCACAGGTCCAGTCTTGAAATGACAGCCCGGAATCTTTCTATCTAATCTCTCTCTGCACCTTGACTCTGAGTCACTTCTGAGGACAATGACCTGGCCTTTCACTGCTCAGGAACTCCCTCTTCTGAGTCCTTAGGGGTGACCCCTTGCTCTGGCATTCTGAAATTTGAGGGCAAGGTCTCCCTGCCCAGCATCTGATTAGTGCCCCCTCCAGCAGGATCAGGTCCACCTGCCAGTTGCCAGCACAGAGTTTATAGGAGCCCCTTGTGCCTGGGTCCTGCCTGAATGTCCCTGCTGGCCATGGCCTCCTCCAAGAGTTCAACCCACAGGGACCCCAGGGCTCCCAGGACTCCTGGTTCAGTAGAACCAATTTGAGTGTTTGTTTTATTTTAATCACCACCTTTATCAACATCCCCCTTTCTCCAAGGCAGATTCTTGGACACTCACTAGCTGTATGAACATGGACCCTGTTTCTTCATCTGTGAGGAGGTGGGGTGGGGGTTTAGATGATCTTTAAAGTCCCACCAGGGACGCTCTGATTCTAGGAGTGAACAGCAAGAGGAATAGAGGGTAGACACAAGGAGGTGCTTCTTGCCCATCAAAGAGGAGATTCAGGGGAGCAGGGACTTGAAAAGGCTCTCCCTGACTAGAGAGAAATCAGGATTGGGGACCTCCAGCAGCCTGGACAGATAAGGGGGAGCCTCCTCATGGCCAGGGATGGGCAAGGGGACTTTGGGAAGGGTGGTTCTGAGTGCCCCTATGCTGCTTCTCACCCTCCCCTCCACGTCCTTGCTCCTGCTCTTTCCTTTACTGGTAGTCCTCCCCAACTTTCTTCACCTGACTAACACTTACATGTTCTTCTAGATTCAGTTTAGGTCTCATTTCTCCCAGGAGACCTCAGAATTCTCAGGCTAGTTCGGGGCCCCTCATCCAGGGTCCCACGGCATCTGGTCTGATGTCTGTCTTGGCATTCCCGACCACATGGTGATGAAATGATCTGTTTGTAAGCCTGAGGTCCTCTAAGCCAAGGACCTAGACATGTTTGTCTGTGCAGCCCCCAGCTCCTAGTACATAGTAGGTGCTCAGCAAATATTCACGAAGCTGAAAGACTGAACTGTGGAATGCAAGAGGATTGACCTTCCTGGGGCCTTGGAGGGAGCTATCTGGCCAGGTCCCATATTTCCTTTCTTCTCTGCTGCCCTGTTGTCCTCAGAGTTCAGGCTCCAGAGAGCCCCAAATGCTGTCACTGCTCTTGGTCCTCAATCATGCAGTCTGAGCTAGACAGGGATGTGGCACTGCCCGAAACAAGGACACCTTCCTATTTCCCCAGGTCCATACAACAGAAGGAGTGGACACGCTCCAGCCTCCAGCCTGCAGACTCTGCGCCACCGACCTGAGGAGGCCTGAGCAGGCTTCCTGGGAGGGGGTGGTCAGTATGTCCCAAGACTAGACTTGTCTCTTGCCTTCCCCCCACCCATTTCAGCTGAATGGGGCCATAATGGCTGGTGAGGCGAAAGGGACAATGGGTCCTGGTGGAGTAGAGAGGAGGCAGAGGTGTAGGGCATGGCGCAGGGCCGAGTGCCCAGAACCCTGCCTCTGCTTCGTCCATTCAATCCCTGACGGCTATTGCTCACACCCTAGGACCCATGAGACAAGAGCCCTGAGGTCCCAGGAGTGTCAGGGGAATGGTGACACAGAGAAAGAAACCATTTCAGATGAAAAAGAGATGGGTGAAGAGGTGGGGGAGTGGGAGGAGGGAGGTCAGGGTAACCAACTAGTCCTGGTTTGCTCAGGACTGTCAGAAGTTTAGGTCCAAACATCCTGAATCTCCAAATTCTCCTCAGTTCAGAGCAGCCGGAATGGTTGACACCTGGCGTGGGGGGCTGGCTAGTGACAGACAGGGGCCTGGGGTGGAGTCTGCACAGTTCTTTCCTTGGAGGCCAAGGAAGCGCGGGCTCCCGGCTCCTCCCGGGCTCCAGAGCACCCAGCCTGCCCCTCGTGCTGCAACCCCAAGGTGCTCCAGGAGGCCCCACATTGCCAGAGGAAGCGGGGGGACTCTGTCCTCTCCCTGCCCTCTCTCACCACCCATGGTCCCTGCGTGTCCCCACAGGGTTGCCTTACCTGGCTGAGGAAGGCAGCTGCCACCTGGGAGACCTCAGGGAGTTGTGGCAAGCTGGCTGCGGGAGAGCGACCTTTGTCCCCTCCTCTAGGAACTGCCTTCACCATATAAGGAAAGATAGGGCCCCTGAGAGAGAGAGAATGGGTGAGGGGGTGGGGAGACAGGTGCTGGCCAGGTCCCTGGGAGCCCGGAGCCCAGCAACAGCTTGATAACCAGAGCCGAGGTGCCTCACCCTGGGCTCCCGAGAGAGCCCCTGGGGCCCAGGCCCTCACTGCAGGGCACAGCACTGACCAAGGAAGGTGCTTCCTCCTACCAACCCACAGGAGACCCAGCAGTCCGCCCTCCCTCCCTGGGGAACGGCTCATGGGGCAAGGGAGCCCAGACCCAGAGATGCAGGGCCTGGAGTTCACACTTGAGGTCGCTCCAAGTCAGACGGGACCCTGGCACCTCTAGAGGTCTCTTATACTTGGCATGACACTGGCTCCGAGGGGGCACAAGTGTTCTTTTTGTCCCCCCCTTTCAGACTCCACCTGGAGCATTTATGAGCTGCCATAAACCAGTGCCTTTGGACTCTGTCTGCCACCTTCTCCCAGAAGCCACGGTTTCCATTTTCGACTCCTGATCCTAGGGGGCCGATCTCTTTCAGGATAGGAAAGGAGTACAAAGGCGGAAGTTGGCTTTGCTCATAAATTCAGCATCCTGGGCAGCTGCCGTCCATCCCTGCAGAAATTCTCCTGTCACCTCTGAACTCCGGAGTTCAGATGAAGTGGGCTGGGCGAAGGCGGTCCCTCCCCCTGGCCACACCTTCCAGCACTCTGGAGACCAAATGTTAGATGTGTGCACATATGTGCATGTGTGTGCACCTGTGAGTGCACTCACACACCGTCTGTTAAGAGGAGTAAATACACAGCAAGTGATGTTTTGTTTTTTAAAATAACACCCTTTTTTGTGAATAGAAAGAAGTATGTGTTCACTCAATCATCCAAACAGTCAAAAAGGAAAAACTCTTCTATAATTCCATTACAGGGCTAATCTACAGATAAATCACTGAGAGATTTACTTTGTAGCATTTCTTTTTCTTTTTTTTTTTTTATCCTCACCCAAGGACATTTTTGCATTTATCTTCAGATAGAGTGGGAGGGAGAGGTGGG